CCATCCAGATCCCTGGAAAAGTGGAGGGTGAGTTCATTGACGCTATTCGGGCGAATGCATTGTTTGTGCGACCCCGAAGTTGAATGCAAGCAACCAGGGGTTTTAGGAATCGTTGCCACAAGTTGGCGTGTATATGAAAGACCGATTTTCCATTAATACCGCGATGGATTCTTTTACTTAGACTTATCGAGTTTACTCCTCTTATACCAACACGAATCCTTATCACCCTGAGAGAATTAAATCACGCCCCCAATATGTTATCCACTGCATTTGGACTACTTATTACTTTAACCTGACACCTTAACAAGGAACAGGGTGCGCCCCGCCTTTGAGTAGGGCAGAGATAGTTAAGAAATGTTTTGGATATTTTATTGAAATTTTCTCTAGTAGCCATCATGATACGCTGAGCGATGTCTTCGAGCCTTTTGAAGTGACGAGAAACGTTCTTCACAGTCAGTACACCAATGATGCCTTTCAGTGTCATGTTGCCGAAGTCCACTCCTGTGACTAAAAGATTTTCAGCAGTCACTGCAATAGGTATTTTGGCAGGGGCGGCTGCGACGACTAGATCGGGGAGGGCTTTCACATATGTACCGTCCAAGGCTGGCAAAAACCCGCCCTACAACCAGATTAGTAGATTTTCTACTACTGACAGACACGCTCGTTCAGTTTTGCGGCTAGGAGGCTTAGGAAAACGTAGAGGCCTACCATAATTCCGTCTCCAGTTGTACCACCCTTTCCATCAACAAAGTTGAGAATTTGAAGATAAAATGAGGGGACTTCTTGCAGATTTCGTGAAAGCTTTGTAATTCTTTGAGAGTGGAAATATGTCGGAAGTATCATCATAGTCCTCACGATAGAGATAATCAATCATCTTTTTAACAATCAAAGGGTCACCAACGATCGTGACCTCTTTTGATCTGGCCTCCTGCGATTAATCAGATTAATACAAGGAGACGTGGAAATTGGTACGTATCCGTTTCCCCACAACTTGTGAGTTGAGGCTAACCTTGGCAGCGGGCGTTGGCAACAGCATACTGCAAAAGCTTGATCCCTTACGTAAATCTAGGGATATCCAGGTTGTTTGCCACATTGCCCGGAGTCTTCTCAGAGTAGAGGAAACTGTTGATGTATGGGGTATCTTCGGCCTTCTTGCCGAAGATTTTGCAGGTGCTCCACCTACAGCAATGGCAAAAGCCCTTCTTCAGATAAAATTAATGAATACATGGCTTAGGTTCACTGTTATCAAACCCTCAGCATCCATTTTTAAAGGTTAGCGCGACCCAATGGTGCCTTCGTCCGCTTCATATTCTTGCAAAATTGCCCGAGAGCCGAAGTATGAACTAGAGAGCACTTGACCATACGTTGTTTTATACACTTAGAGTGTAGTCTTCATAAGAGAATGGTGAATTAGGTGAAAATTCATTCAATTAAATTCATTTCCTTATGCGGCAATTATGGGGCATCATGCCAATTTTTCATCTCCTAGGATGCTTTTGACCAGTTTCTCGCCCGAGTTGAAAGTGTCTTGGTCAATTAGAAGCCCATCGATCTGCTCCCAGCCACTTGAATTCAGTAAATATGTCGTCCTCAGAGAAGTGGCTGGCGAGGGACATATCATCTGAGCTATCGTCAGAGGTGTCGACAGAGAAACCCTCATCTATTAGACGGATATAGTTCTCGGGAGGTGGTGTCGCCCTCGGATCATTGCGGGCGGCTTTTGAAGCCGAACGAAGACGGACTTCGATCTTTACGTCTTTCAGCAGTGAATTTTGCATTGCTTCAAGCGAGGGGTCCAGTGCGTACAGTATTTGACATCTCGCCGGTAAAAACTATTGGTAATTTGATATCAAGTAGTAAAGCGGGGACCGGAAGAAATGAAGGGGTGAGTAGAAGTTCACGTATGTGAATTGATATAACGAAGAAGAGTTGCAGTTAGTGCATTTCTGAGTGATGGTGCCTTCTGTCTGGACAAACCTCTCTTTACTCTTTATACCCCCTCAACCAATGTTGGCAGCTACCTCAGCTCAATCATACTGGAGAAGGAGATGTGGAGAAAAAATAGTCAGCCTTGATTGGCCCTAAAATTAGATCTCACGTGAACCTGGCGGCTACATCCTGAGCGCTAGCGTCTCAAGCTTCTCAAGTGTTCAATTCTGAAGTGCCTCAGTGGTTCAGCCTTCTGGCATGTTCTACGGAAGCGAAAGTATGTTATTGATTTCCTCCGCGGTGTGAATGCGTCAGCAGTAGGATTGGTCTTTACGGCTGTGTAACGGCTTTGGGAAATAGGGTACTTGAGTCCGGGGGAACGCGATGGTCAAAGTCTGGCGAAGGAGCCGTGGTGGGTTATTGTCGCCGCTGTTACTTATACTGAGAGTGCGTGGTTCAAGGTTCCTCCTGCGGTCGGGATTTTGCTAGGTGCTATGCTTGGGTTGCGTTGGTATGGAGTCGTTTCTCCTGCGTGATGACGAATACAATTGAATAAATTGTGCCGTAAGAATGTAAAAGATGTCGTTTTAGAAAAAGAAAATAACTCGCCTTCGGAGCCAAAGCGGTACAGATTACGGCTACATATAACACTATCCATTCGGCTTTCGTTCTTGAAATCGGCCTCAGAATAAGTAGAAGGACAACCATGCTGAACGGTTGGCCATAGCAGAACCATTTCTTCTCATGTACTCGGAGCTTGCAGACGGACATTTCATGGCAAATCAAATGCCGAATGGCTGCATCTACCCACTGAGCCCGCCAGCCTCTCCAGACTGGACCCAGAAAGATATCGCTACTCTGTCTAGGGTATTCGCAGACACGGTTCCTCCAAAACGGCACACTGCGGCAGAGATCCAAAACTTTCTTTTACAGTATAGAAACGACCCATGGTTAGCAGTGACTGATGTATCGGAATGGGCATATGGAGACCTCCGTCTTGATTGCGAGGAGAATCTCGCTGCCTTACATACTTCGTGCAGTCGGTTCAATATCCGCGGTACTGACTATTATCTCACAATAAGTGCTCTCATTTTTTCATGGTCCCGTCATAAACTCTGTTCAAAAGACAGCTGCCATCATGGGTCAAGTAATTGCTTTCAACTTCATATTCTTCTCCTTCAGCTGCCCGTTTCTGATGAGAACGTGCCTAAGATCTGGACTACGCCTACCGATGCAGTCGGTGGAGTAGACTTGAGCTTGCAAGCTGCCCTTCAGCGAGTGGTTGTTACACAGATCGGACTGCAACTGTCAAAGATTGTGTACGATGCCCCTCTCCGCAAGCGTGGATTTGAAAGGGAATACATACGCGACGAAACTGCTAAAAAGCTCATCCAGTGTATAGGCGTCTACCTGAGGCTGGAACTAATGAGGAGCCGGACCCTCTGCTGTTGACATATGGGTCAAGTGTGCCGTAAAAGCAGTGCGTAGACCAGACAGTTGAGATCATGACTCTGCACACCAGGTTGGACTTTTGACAAAAAAATAATATTCTCTCGCAGCTGAAAGTAAGAACTATGTTATCAAGGAAAATACATAAGAAATTTAATGCGGAAACGCATTTTTGGAAAAGGCATATGATCATTATGGCTACAAATGTATTTTCAGACCATGCAGTAGATAACATGGCACGCTCATTGTAAAGTGTTATAGGTCGGTTTAGACATCCTAGCCGGGCTTATAGATATCCGACAAAGGCTAGTGTTCTCTCCGTATGCCGAAGACCTCGATTCAGGGCATACATAAATTTCCTCGGTCGCATATGGTAGGCTAGAAACTCGTAAGTTTTGCTGTGCAGTAAGCAGAGAGTTCGCCATACTTACTACCATGGGTTTGTTTGGTAGGTTATGTAAATTACTATGTTTAATGAGGGCTTTCTAGGTACCATTTACCCTGGTCAATAAATCCCAAAACATTTCATGCTGCAAACAAACAAAGCAACTATATAATTTATTCAAGTAGTTGTGATATGTAGTATAACGGGTGAGCTTACTCTTGAGAGGGATCAAGTAGGTCCCGCTTGCAGGGCAAAGAAGGTTCCCATTATTGGTTAGTTTTATAAGACACAGACAGGAACGGATATTAAGGTAAATATTCTGTATATGTTCAGTTCATAAAAATCACTTGGAAAATACCTGGGCCCTTAGTAATATCTTTCCCGCCCAGCTGTCTTGCGACTGACGCAGTATGAGGTCATTGACGTCTTTGACGTGGACAAGGAGCCCTTGGCTCAAGATGCCATTCTGACTAGTGATTTTTCAAAAGGACATAAGTCACGTCTTTCAAATGTTGTGAAAATCTTAAACTACCCTCGTAAGAGGTGTTCTAATCGCGCTGCTAGTACCACACTCCAATAAATTTGCCTCAGTGATGATATCGCTCTGGGGATATAGAGCGCAACGAAGGAGGCATTATCACGATGATGGCACCTTGGAAGATGATGTGCCCCAACCTACCCCTTCAATTGGGAATGAACGGCCTCAGGACCCAGATGAGGGGACTCGCTTACTTTCAGATGAATGGGCGCACCTAAGCCCGGACGACCCTGCAGTAAGTCCCCCGTAAATGCGTTACAATGAGCTAATATTATAGGTCACTCCTTATAACCTACTGCTCATTCGAGTGCTTCGGTATATGTCCTTATTATTCTTTGTCGCGAGCCTTATATGGTGGGTACTTCTTCTTATCTCACTCTTCATCAGCCCACCGGCGATGCATAGTCGCGGTTCAGGTTTCTTCGCGCTCTCCTTCACGACCCTAACAATCGAGAATATTTTGATCGCATTGGTATTTTTTACTATCCCTTCAAAACCCATGAAATTGTTCGGTTCAATACTTTCACTGTTTCTAGGGGTGGATATGATTATTACACTTGCAGTTCCCCGCATCCGGCACGAAGAAGGCTGGATTGGTGTTGCATCTGTGGTATGGGCAACATTTATTGGACTATATAACACCGCGCAGAACCACTATGTTGGATGGGGAAAAGGAGAAGAGGAGGAGCGTCTCACTGGCCGAGAAGAAACGCGCCGTACTCTGCGGGAATGGTTAGCCGTCTTTGTCTCTGCCGTGATCATGGGTATCCAGGCGATCACGGCAATTCTAATCACCGCTAGTTTGACTCTACGCTCGAGAGAACTTAGCCTAGCACCACCGGGTCATCGTTACTACGTTGATAGCCATGAATATCAAGTGCACATCGCCTGTGTCGGTAACATTACACATGAAGGCTATACCATCCTGCTCGAGGCAGGAGAAATGCCAGTTGAGGATACCTTCCAGCGTTGGATACATGATGCATACCGCCATGGCACAATCGGCCGTTACTGTTACTGGGACCGGCCTGGCTTCGGGTGGTCCGATAATGCCCCCTCCCCATATTCTGCCGGCATGGCAGCGGACGCACTCTCAGAAGTCTTAACTGCCATGGATGAGAGGGGACCGTGGGTACTCGTCTCTGCCGGAATTGGAGGGGTCTATAGCCGTATTTTCGCAAGTCGGCACGGTGGAGACATCAAGGGAATGCTCCTCATTGATGTTGTTCATGAGGATTTCCTATCCGATCTTGCCAGTCCAAGTCGTGGTATCTTGCTCTGGTTCCGCGGTATGATATCCCCTTTGGGCCTTGAGACACTCGCAAGCACGATATTTCATCATTCAACAAGGGAGGACCGTGTGTTTGGCAAGTATGCATATGTGGGCGGAAGATATATTAAAGCGAGGTTGCAAGAAAACCTGGTTGCTAAATCTATGACCTACGGAGAGATTTCAAGTGCTCGGAATAACTTATCTTCGAAGATTTCTCTTGCGGTTGTAAGTTCGGGTGTCGAGGCAAGGAAGAATGAGGAGTGGTCTAGGAAGCAGGAAGACTTGACTGAGATAACTGAGACCCTTGTTGCATGGGATACTGTGAAAGATGCACCGCACGAAGTTTGGAGGACACTGGAAGGCAGGCAAATACTGGAGAAAAGGCTAGGGCAGTTGGCCAGAGCATAGTCTCATTGTTAATAACTTTTCTCTCACCGTTGTCCGCTTATTATCCTTGTTACCAGATTGATTCGTCACATTCATTTTCTCAGACTATATTATCCCTCGGTCTTTCTAGGCTAGATAATGCATCACTGCATGGAGAGGCACAAACCTTTGTGGTGAATACAAATCTAGCTACTTTAATTCATTGTTCTGACCTGGTACTTGTCACGTAAGAATAATTCTGATGTAGTTATGTTTCATTATCCGTGATATTCTGCTGTCAGTCTTCCCTGAGATCCTTCATACGGATACGTGGATGTCCAAATACTAATTACGTGCATGTTCCTGCGTCGCACGGTTGTTATGAACATGCGCAGATGCATTATATTAACAAAGACAGTACTATCATTTATATTAAAGTAGTTGAACCGTAGCCCTGTCACGCATATTCTATAGAATCAGGTTCTATTTTGGTTTATTTCCAGACAAAATAATCAACCAGCTTCATCTCTATCTACTATGCATATTGGTGGTTACAGTATTGTGTTATTGTAGGCGTATTGTAGTTCGCGGCTCACTTGTTGCCTAATGTACATTTTGTCCATGACTTCCCCGGTGGCCATATAACGCTCTGAATAATGTAAACAGCAGTTATAGTGTCACTCTCAATGCTAAAATCTTGTTCGGTGGTACCAGCACACACCCTGTAAGATTCCAGGTGACTGCTTGGTGGTCATGGCTGTGAGATATCTGTCACCCTATAAGTATGGCGGATTGGTTAGAAACCCTCACCCCTTCTTTTTCATGCTCTGCAACACTTCTCCTCAATAACCTTTCCAATATAAGCAGATATTTCTAGCTGTAATTTTTTAAGCCATGAAATTACCATTTGCGGATGGCCTGGGGTGCGTTGCGTCATTTCTGACCAAAATATCATGGCTTCTCATGCGGCGCCACGGTGACGCGGCAGAATTCAAAGCGTGTGAAATCCTTTTCCAAATTAAAAAATAAAGAATACACTTGAAAGAGGATTTAACGTGTACCGATAGGTATCTCAGTGGTTCGTATTTCTTTTTTTAGCGCTCCAGAAATTGAAGCTACAAATAATGCTATTTTATACACAGGTGGCCCCATACTCTTGTTAATTGAACCTGTAATGAAACAGTTCACGATAATTTTAAATCCAATGGCAAAGATGCATGACAACTTGGCCACGAGCTCTCCCTTTTTCTGTATCTTTTATCGGGATCTTGTTCCCTCAACTAGCGCCCACCGTCAAAATCGAATTTGAGCTGCGCAAAACACTTTCTTTTCCGTTTTAAGGTGTGGAGAGAAAATTCGTCGAAATCACCAGCCAATTGAAGTAGCTTCACAGGTACCAACTTCAAGCCTGCTCCGTGATGGTTACTTGAATCATACCCATAGTACCAGATTCATTCCAATTACCAATACCAACATCATATCTGACATCATGATTGAATTTCAAAATTTCATTGCGTCTTTCAGGTTCCACAGATGCACTCCAGTATAAGGTGCAGATTCGGGTAGCTCTTTTATCGTCGTAAAGATCAAACATTCCTCGAGTTTCTGAGATAGAACCCAATTCGCCACATGCATATATATTCCTTCTGCCACCATTATGGCGAATGGTCAGGTCATCGACATCGCTCGGCGACACAACATCGCGTCGAACACCGTGCGTGTAGAACTGGCCACTGTGTTGCTGTCAAATCCAGCTGATTTATATCTGGGACTTAGACTAAATACCTGGAAATGTGCGCGTTTTTAATCGTGATATCACAGTTCAAGTCATCCTGGATTTGAATATCAATATATTGACCGAAGGCTCCAGCAGCCATCATAGCCTGATATGGTGGTTGAAACTGGGAAATGGCTTTGAGAAAATGACAAAATCGATATATGTCATATATCAACGTATTGGTGGTGAAAGCAGTTTTCTTTAGCCGGTGACCACCACTAGATAGCAATTGTTTATAGAGAATGTCTTTCTGCTTGCAACTTGGAAGCTTTCCCTCATAGATCGTGAACAAGAGAGTATCGTAGTTTGAAGATCAGAAACTCTTTCAGGATAAGAAGCTTTAGGTAGACATTGTGTACTTGATAAAACGTTGGACAGAATATTGAGCTACATTTCAGACGTGACGCCCTCGTGACACTTTTACGACTACTAAGTGCATAGGCTCCAAATTTGAACCAACTAGCGCAATTAAGGTTCACAGAACCTTGGTTGTTTGAGTTTGAAGGTGCATTCAGGAATTTTACAGCACTTATCGTGTGATCGAAATTGTGCGAATTTGTTGGCACCGAATAGCTGCTCGATGGTGATGTGGCATGATTATTGCTGTGGCCTCCTGAGGTGCAACCAACTCGTAGACTATCTCTGAAAGAGCCAATGAATGTATCCTGACGTGATCAAAATACTCTAAGAGAACCACCAACATAACCCCATTGCTGTAAATCCCTCATGACCAAGTCTTTCCAGCTTTGTTCACACCGTTTGCAAAGTGCTGATGGAAAAGTGTAGACCATATATGTGCTGCAATCGCCATATTTCATCTACAAAATATTAATAATAATGAAGCCACGTCAAATGTAGATTTAGTGGCCGCCCCAGTGCTCGATTGATATTTAGATGTACTTCTTTGGTGCAATTGCTAGCTAGTTCATGGTTATCTTTGACAGATGCAAGGAATGAATTATCAACAGGGGTATAGCAGACAAGGATTGTATTCTATGTGTTCATCCATAAAGTTTTGTCCTGACACCCAAGTACATCACATCATGCAAGCTATAAACTGCTGGCTATAAGCCTCAAGTCACGGAGAAAGAAAGCTTCCTCGCCTCACTGTCATTCTGCTATGTCATTTATATTTTATATCTGCAGTACAATGAGCTGAACTAGCCACCCTGTGACCTGGTCTGTATGGCTGTACACAAAAGGGCTTGTATTCGTTGGTATGTCAGCTCGCGCGAGGTATATCTCGAAAAGGTGACAAGTTAGTAATTGTCTTATATAATTCAACGTAAACTAACTACTCCAGCTGTTGCCTTGTAAATCGCGTCACATCCTACATTCACTATCTTTGTCCAAGTATTGGAGAACGAGCTACTATTTTATGCTAACCCCCCTGCATCTGGACACTAACAGCAGCGAACCTGCGCCTCCGAGATCATATCTAGCATCTGAAGCCCAGTTTAATCTCCCTCAGACGCAATACAATTTGACTCCAGAGCTCGTCGAACTTCGGGATCAAGGTATGTGAGTAATTTCAAAAAACGTTTGCTCTCCTAGGTTCCCGGGCCCTACGACAGCCTCGTAAACGACGCAGCAGATTGACTCACTAAAGAAGCTCTTTAGCTTGTTGCGGAGATGACATATGAGCTGCATCACAGAAATATAAGCTATGTAACATACCTCCTGTCAGCAGTGTACGGCCATAAAACTATGGTTGTAGTCAAAGGCATTGATCAATCCATAAAGGTGAGATATTATAGCCAATACCACCATAAAATGAAAGATTTGGTGGGAGGTTATCCAAATATCGAACATGCCAGGATATATACGTTCCGGTACTTGGATCTGGGAATTTGTATATTAGATGCTGGATTGTAAGACACCATTCTCTTTTAACTCACGGCATATATGCAGGCTCCTGCAATATAGAGCAATCCCTGGAGAACAACCCAGAAAAGACCAATCTGTTTGTTCATTTGTCTAATACCAAACTTCATAACTCCATGAATGACAGGGAAGAGTGCTGATAGCCCAAGGGCGATGAACATCCTCGCACGAAAGGATCGCCAGGTGGGGTGTCGAAATTGAGGAATTATTGAAATTGCGGTACAAAGGAGACCGAGGGAAGCTATCTTGGAAATATATGTGAGGTCTCTCGTTCAAGAACGCGGGAAATGGAAGAAAAGTGAGGACAGACCATAGATATATAGAGTTTTTGTAGGATAGGGTGACAGTAAAACCCATAAAATATGCTTGGAATAAAGCTCCCAACTATCAGAAATACAATACCAATATAATCCATTTGATTTGCAATGCGTGCTACATGCGAGGAATGATTCTGAATGGTGTGAAAGGTTGCTGATATGACCAGGCACAGAACAGCCCCAAGCACAAAACACCCCAAAGCTATGGTATCTGCTGTTGATACGCTCGTATACCTAGCTGTGAGTGATGCATGGAGCGTCAAGCTAATAAATAACAGGAGAATGGCAGGGATAAGGTGGGAGTAGATGTTGACGGACTCATTATGGATATAAGCAAGGCTCGCAAATGATCTGTGAAAGGAATTGGAAGCAGTCCGATAACCTGAAAGGATGTATTGGTTGTCACGTTGCCAAGAAGGTAGTTGATCCCAGTGTAATGACATTTTCCGACACAGTTATAGTGGGTTCCGGCTGCTCAATCTTTCGGTGAGGGACTCAACATTGACCACACGAAGGGTGAAATGAACCAAAAAGCAATGTAGGTCCTTATCAATTTTCCGATGATGCATACTTGTTTACCGCCAATTTTACCATGGAGAGTTTGATATATTTGATGTTCACCTCAAGCGAGAACCACATCTGCTCATACAAGTCAGTGGCATCAAATGCTGAAGAGTCAATACTATTTAACAAATAATTTGTTTCTTTCCTTTTTACGATGAGGTCATTATTCTGTCAAATAGTTGGAGATCTGAAGAAAGGTGCTACGTCAAAGTGAGGTCATTCAGACAGCACTAGCCCCTTCTGCTTCATGGTCGTGCCAACCAACAAGAGTTTCGTGTAGCCGGAAGACGTGAGGCTTTTCTTCCAACAGCAGTCCGGCACGCAACCCAATAGGCTGGAGCCCGTGAACAATTCTTCATTTCGCGCCGGCCTTCCGCTGATCGGTGATATTTTATTTACTTGTGTCTACTAATTAGTAACAACCGAAATACAGCGGGTTTCGCACATTACTCGTTGACGCTCCTCAGAATTCTTTTTTTTTTTTTTTTTTTTTTTTTTTTTTTGTTTTTTTTTTTTTTTTTTTTTTTTTTTTGTTTTGGAATAGCGTTGAGTAGCACAAGTAGCCGTTTCTTGGATATATGCCATCGATGTTCATATGTAAGATGTTATGCTAGTGAAATATTGGCCGTGGGTGCCGTGTGAGTGAAATGGAAAGACGGTAAATGATCACGAGAGCAAACTGCGATGGAAGTGGCATACAAGGTGAACTGAATTAGCCTAATAGGGTCCCCTTACACATCGAGAGAGGGACGACTGACCGTGTACTATAACAAACTATGATGTAAGCTGTTTTTTCCTACATAGAAGCTGTCCAGGCCTTTCACATTCAACCTTTCCGGCGACAACATCTTTCCAACTTAGTGTCTTAATTTCTGTTATATGGCTCTCGGTTGACCTCTCACTTTGTTGGCCCTGCTCTTGCCTATATTCAAATCAGAAGGATGCCCCTCTGATATAGTCTTTTACGTTATCGCGCTTGATGTATTGAGTTTCCGAGACGATAAGCCATCAGCTGAGATATTTCTCTGGATTTGTCACCTTGGTATTGTAGCCACTAAAAATTTCTCTGCACTCTATGGATAAAGGTCTGTGGTAGATAGTAGAACGATTGAGACAGTAATTCAGTGGCACCATGACAGTAGTGAAGCAGATTGCCTTCGCAGGAATCCATATTTGAATAGGGTAAGGCATGCATTCGAGATAAACTGGCAGATGATAGAATTGATCAAGGACTACTGAATGCTACATAAAATACTAATTTATTGGATATTATGAAGAACAGGCCGCAAATCCGAATAAAGCAGTTCCATCCCTTGTGATCTTGAAGAGCATGCCCGCCCGTATGACAAGGTATGTAATTTTGGTATTATAGAAACCATTGACTATCAGGTACAACAAAATATCCGCGGGTCTTTCGAGCCCTTTTTCGTAGATTCTACCGAAATAGGCCGCGCGCATACCATGCCCCACGCAATAGGAGCTTTGTAGTGTTAAGGGCCGATCTTCCTCTAGATAGTGGGCGTAGTAAAACCAGGCTTTAACGTCCCTAGACTGTTTACATATAACAGTAAGCAGAAAAATAAGTGGCCACCGCTTGATGAGACCAATTGCGAGAAGTTCATATGTACATCGATTCGCACCATTGCAATACGCTAAACATGTATCATCAACATAACGGCAATGTTAAGATGCTGATTGTCCGATATTTAAACCTGTGCCTGGTTCTGACTCGTTCGAAGGCCATGAATTAAAGGTGTCCGCTCAGATGCAGGCGGAGATGCCAAATGCTCAGCCACGATTTGGTCATTAGCCACCGTGGGAAGAGTAGAAGAATATGGATGTGAGCTGCCGCAGGACTGGAGCAAATCTTGGCGGTGTTTTTGTATTATATGCCTTAGCCGCCCTCCTCGGACCTTCTTCATGAACACCGGGTGGTCGCGGATCTCCTCCAGTACTGCATTCCACCCGTCCTGGCGGCTTTCCCCGGGGACGCCTAACTCAGGGCTCTTTGTGCCGGGCCACATATATAGAATGAGCTTAGTGATAAACTGATCCGGGATCAGGCGAATGATTACCGCCAGCGGTACTGCAAGAGCTCCAAGCAACACGCTCACTGCCCACTGAGAGGCCTGGTTGAGAGGCTGCACGGAAAAGGCTTTCCCGCCGAGAAAGATGATCAGGACCTGGCCACCAACGATGATGAGCTGAATAAAGATAAACCATCTGTTGCTTAGGATGCCCTCCATAATATTTAAACGATTGTCAACCCGGCGGCAGCTGCAGAAACTAGTTAATAAGTGTCTCGACAAGGAGGAAATTCCACTACTTGCTTGTACTGATTGAATACCTGCATGAAGACGAAGGTATTGAACACCACTGTCTGGATATGTCTGTTATCCCACGTTGGGAAGATGGATTCGCCATCAAAGTTCAGGGTGAGAGTTACAGCCAGCTGATATATGGCTTGTCCCATGATCATTTTCCACATTGTCAAGGTGATTAGCGGGGCAGATTTGGGATAGGGTTTCCGCTCGAGAACGTACGGCGAAGGAGGGTCCGTTGCTACAGCAATGTCAGGCAACCCGCAAAATTATAGAACATGGGGAGAGAATACCAAGTGCAAGTGCGGCGAAGGTGTCCATGATGAGGTTAACCCATAATAGCTGGACTGCGCTGAGGACAGAATCTTCGTCATTGCTGGCAACGGCCGAAACAAAGGTGAGAACAACAGCAGTGATGTTGACAGTTATTTGGAACTGAACAGTCAATGAGCTTTTTGTCTTGGGCCAGGTTATATTGATCTTACTTGAAGGAACTTTTTGATGGCGTCATTAACTGTGCGTCCCCAGGCTATCGCCTTGACAATAGATGCAAACTTGTCGTCCATCAGGATGATATCTGAGGCCTCTTTGGCAACTTCGGTGCCTGTGATGCCCATTGCGAAGCCAACATCGGCAGTCTTAAGTGCCTGCGCATCATTCGTTCCATCTCCAGTCACGGCGACGGTCTCCCCCAGTTTCCTGAGCTGGCTGACCAAAATCTTCTTGTCCTCTGGGCTTGACCGCGCGATGACTTGTAGACTTGGGATTAGCTCATTCATCTGATGAGAGCTTAACTGGCGGAATTTGGGCCCTTCGATGGCGACACCACCAGGCGTGTAGATATTGCATTGCTGGGCGATGGCCTTGGCGGTGACAATGTTGTCGCCAGTTACCATCCTGACAAGAACGCCGGCCCGCTGACACTGCTGGACGGCGTCAGCGACTCCTTGGCGGACGGGGTCTTGGATGCCGAAGATGCCTATAATCGTCATGTCTTTGAAGATTGGCTCAAAGACCGCCCTTTCGCAGTCGATTTCGTCCGTCGGTGTCCCATGAGGCGGCCAATTTTCGAAGTCCCGGTGCACAAGAGCGATACATCTCAGAGAGCGAGACGCGTAGTTGGTGATAATGGCATCTAGCGCAGCCCTTTTCTCCTCGGAGAGCGGTGACTCCGCCAGACCATTAGTTGGATCCTGCACTATCTGCGTCGATTGGCGGAGTAAGATTTCTGCGGCACCTTTAACCAGCATCCGATACTTTCCGTTATCCAACTGGACGACCACCGCCATGCATTTTCGGCTCGAATCGAACGGGAACATTTGCACAATCTTCGTGTTTGCTCTAGCCTCGCCCACTGGCCCAAGCCCAAGCTGCTCTCGCGCGAATGACAGCAAGGCCGTCTCCGTCTTAGATCCAATAAACTTGCCCACTCCGTCATGGTCACTCTCAAACGCAGTTGAGTTGAGCACGATTGATTGGAGTAAGTGGTTTTTCGCCGATATAGAAAGCATGGATATAAACTCCAAAGCTGAGAGGCTCCCTCGATCCGGTGCATTGGTCGCATCATTCGAAGGCAGTTGGTCCCCAAATGTTGACGTGGTGCCTAGAGTAGCAGCCACGACACTCATCTTGTTCTCGGTGAGCGTGCCAGTCTTATCGGAGCATATAGCCGTGGCATTCCCCATGGTTTCACATGCCCGGAGCAAGCGCACGAGGTTGTTGTCCTGGATCATCCTTGTTGTTGCAAAGGCGAGAGCGAGCGTGACCGCTAACGGCAGGCCCTCTGGCACTGCTACAACAACAACGGTGACGGCTACGATAAATATTCGGAGAAAGGCTTGACCTTTCGCCTCCGGACCACCCTGAATGTCCTTGAGGCGGACCAGAAACTTGATGAACAACACGACGAACAGTACCAGGCCTGCAGTAAGGCCGACCTTGGCAATATAGTCTGCCAGCACGTTTAGCTTGATTTGCAACGGGGTAGTCTCGCCCTCATCCTGGAGAGACATCATCGTCCGGCCGTACGTTGTGTGGGCTGCGATAGCAGTGACCAGAAAAGTGCCCGTCCCCTCTTCAACCTTGGACCCCGACATGATGAAGGGATCCATCTTCTTCAGGTCTGTGTTCTGTTCAATAGCCCAATAGACTTTGTCGCTGGGAGTTTTCCGAAGGAGATCTGACTCGCCCGTTACTGAAGACTCGTCACATTTGACGTCATGTCCGTTAATCAGGACCCCATCGGTTGGGAGCACATCGCCCGGTTCCAAGTACACCACGTCCCCTACAACAATATCATAAGTCGACACAACCGCTATCTTACCGGATCGGATGACCTTGACATATCGATCCTCTTTCTTCTTGTTAAGCTTCGCGAACTGGCGTTCCTTCTGCCAATCATTCGCAGCGCCGACGGTGACAACAACGATGATCGCAACGATGATCGCGGCACCCTCCACCCATTCCACGCCCGTTCCTCTCACAGATTGGGGAATGCCCACGGCGAGGGAGACAACAGCAGCAATTGATAGTAGGATTAGCACCTTATCATTGTACGCGATCCACACGAACTCCCAAATGGATTTGAGCTGCTTCTCGGGAAGCTTGTTGGTTCCAAACACTCGCCGCCGGTCCGCAAATCGGTCCTCTGCCTGCTTGATTGCCGGAGCATCCACAGTGGCATCATGCGGTGATGCCACTGAAGAGGCTGACCTGGTTGGACGCACGAAGGCCCGTGGGACCATCTCGTCAACACTCACCGTACCGTCCAACACTGTCTCATCCATGCTCAAACCGCTCCGCACGTCGGTTCGCAGCCCTTTTTCCAGCCCGCGCAGTCCCCCAACAGTGCGGAAAGCTTCCAAATTCTTGGGGTTCAAGAGTTTATTCAGCTGGTCAGGTGAGAAGCCAAACTTGCTGTTCTGTACTTCGGGGTCGGGTTTCCTGCTGGGGTCCAGTCTGGTAGTTCCTTCATCACCGGCGTTGTCCTCGCCGAGTACTCTGCGAGGCGACGTCGGCACATGGGTGTCTCCATAGTTATTCGATATTTGAGTGCTGTACTCTGGTTGTACTGGCCAGCCACAAGTCTGCGTAAAGGGCATGGACCGCAAGGGGGAATCGGGCTCAATCATGTTAGTTTTTGGCGAGAGGAGTTTGTGCGCAAGTGTATACGGCTTTGTTGAACCGGTCTTTAGCAGAAGCTCACGTTGAACGGAAGTTTTAATGCACAAGCTCAATGTAAAAGTAGTAAGGGTATATGGGCCATAGGGAGGTCGGCGCCTCAGAGAGCTTGTCCGAAGGACGACCACGGACGAAGAAACGACAATATAACTCTGAGGGGCGAGAATTGCCTATTCCGGCCCATTCAACCAGGCAGTCTAGTGTAATGCCTTAAACTTGCTGGTGGCTGGCTAGTAGTTCTCTTTAGAACAGACTTTTGTTGAAAAGGTTACTAGAATTGACGTTGTTATGACGCAATGGTCGGCGATTTATGGTACATGACTAGAAGAAGTTAAAATATAAAACTAAAGCACTTATCGCTAACCAGAGGTGTGCCAAGCATCGCTACATACTCCTCACATACTTTTGATAATTTCCCATTTTGGTGTTGAGGGGACATGTCAATTTCTGTGACGTGGAGGTAGAAAATACAACACATCCTATTCAGCTGGAAACTAATATAGATCTGCTTATGTAGTTTCATTCTCACCGATATGATCCCGCGAAACCTACTTTGCTCCAGTACTAGAAGTACACAAGTGGGTTACCTAGAAACGGAATCGATTAATTGATGATGTTAATCGCGCCGGAGTCACACCAGCCCAAGCCGACGCGTGAAGGAATCCAAGGCTCAAACGCATTCCACCAAATAGCATGCCATCAGTATTTTAAAGTTTGATAACTGACGATATTCTAAAAAGCATCCTGAAGAGAATTTACCTTCAGTATATAGAATATGATAGCCATACACTGCAATGAAAGCTAGAGTTTTAAAACTAAAGGAGCATGAGGAACAGATTGCTACTCTCCAAGGCTGCATTAATAATCTCAACAGTTGGATAGGAGCCTTACCCCCTAAATATCGATACCGTATTCGAGATGATGTAACAGTAGCCTTCGTTTTAGACTATTTTCTCTCCTCTTCCTCCAATTTTTAGCTATTCTGCATCTTATTTACTACTTAACGAGCCTATGGCAAAGTTGAGATTGTGTCTGGCACTATAAGGGTACTGGTTTCTTGAAAATAGAAGCTGATGGCAGATCACTTATTCTGCAACATAATCGCCTATTGCGGTCAAATTAGGAAGTCTAACCTTTCCTTCATTACCTTTGTTACCCAAAACCACAGTTACTGCTCCTGATAGACCCTCCGGATAAATCTGCAACTGTAGGTCAAAGACGAACGGGTTGTCTTGCGATAACGGCTTTTTGGATGATACGAGGATCACATCAATCGGCGCCAGAGGAGGTGCACTCATAATGACATCACACTCAATCTGGTCACCAGACAATTGCTGTGCTTCAAACATGGTCCTTGAAAGCGCAGAAACTGTAGTTCCAGGACGAGGGATCGCCTGTAAGCTGATACCAGGAGCACCCTGAACTTCACATGAGCTGACACGGCCTGTTGCATTTCCAATGCCCTTCACTTTAAAAACTCCTCTTGCGGTAATGAATTTTGAATGGAAAAGCGAAGCTCTCTGGACCTTCTCCGCGATTTCCTTGTGTTCCTGAATGGGGCTCCTGAGAAGGAAATTGCAAATGCTGTCAACGAACACACCAGTAATATCATGCGTTCCATCTGACCCGATACTTTCTCTCCATTGATTGAATAGCTTCGAGCTAGTAGGGTCCCTAGCCAAGGCTGTGTTTAACTGTAGGTTTCCTCCCATAACAGAGCATTTGCTTTCACGTCGGCATAAGTATTCTCTGTATTGGGATGTACCTTTCGCTCTACCTTCGACGCCTAAAACCGAGCTATACTCTGTTCCAATATGTTCGCGGAAATTGTCTTTCGATTCGTTGGATGCATCATGCCTCGTGACCTGAAGGTGGTACCGCGCTCCAGATGAACAGCCTGTGATAACATGCGTGCCCCATTTTGCAAAAAACTTGGCAAATGCATCACGTGCTGAAGGATCATTCTCGTTCCAGGAGGGAAGTTTCCTTGCTGTCTTGATAAAGTCCGCGTTGATCTTATCTCTTTCCAGGCTTTTTATGTTGAACTGGGCAGTATAGTGGAGCTTACCAATGCTCCAGAGGCCAAACAGAGATCTAGGATTGAACGAAACTCTGTGACCAAATTTTCCATCACCTTCTGTCGAGATTCCCAGGTAACGATGGCCCAATGATGGATTGGCTACCAAATCATTCGCTAAAGCAGCTCCAGTCGTGCAAAGTAAATCTTCTGCCACGATGTCTGTCCCACCAGGAGCAATTAAAACATTGTCGGGAACTATATATTTCTTATTTAGTCCTAGAGCGATAGTTATTTCCTTATCAAAGTTGAGATTTAGAAGCTGAACTTTTTCAGCGCTCTCTAATGTTTCTTGGTAGTCGAATAAATTCGAGCCTTATGCTTCATCAGCTTGTCTCTGTAAATGATATGTAGAGGAACAGTAATACCTGGGAAGAGAGTGAAAGTACGTCCTATCAGGCTGCAGGACGGCAGTGGTTCAGGCAGAGTATCCATGCTTTTCTGGTGATAATTGTAATAGGTAAGGCAGTTGTATGAAGGAAGAAACAAAGAGTGGCGTTGTGCAGTTAATCGGTCCGTTATATATGATTCTTCCGGTAATATAATAACCCTTTGAGAATTCTACTGTTTCCATTTTTGTTTTTATTTTTATTTTTTTATTATTTTTATTTTTTTTTGCCATCTTTGATCATGATGACGTTGGGTAGCAACCCTATCTGTTGTATGACGCTCGCCGTTGCTGGTCTGTCCTAATACTCTTATAATTGCTACAGTATTTGTCAAATAGCCAGGGACCGCCTTCCTGGCCAGGTCATCTCTCGCCTTCACTGGCTTTCTTTTGCTTCCAACGCCTTACGGGCGTTTCGGCTGCTATTCCGTAGTTCACACATACGACAGTGCAAATAAATCTAGCTAACTAATATGTATTGGCAGAAGACAAGGATCGTAGATATCTTAGTCTGGCTTTCAGAGGATCCATAATATAATACGATAGGAAGATTGAGATGACACAGGTAAAGAAACAGAGACAAGAGTTTCTGGCAGCCAGTGACTGTCATTCAGGATTTTTGCCTGGATGGGTGAATGACAATGTATATTTATCCTGCCAGACACTCCTTGGCTTATACCCTTAGTATATCCCCCTTGTGCCTTGAGACTCATTCCGGATGCCCTGTCGCTCAGTATTCTGCATTATCTCCAGCGGTTAGCCATATGGTAAACAAGGCTTTGGGGCGGTAAGTTCATTAAAGAGAATAATCTAGGTAAGCGCTGGACTTCGGCTGGGGTAAAAACGAGGGATCATACGAACAACGTTCTCCTGGATTTCGCCCCGGTCCAGTATTCTTAAGATGGCTTCGTTATCATCGGATGTGCCGATCTCGGTCTCAATTGTGGCCCTGCTTGCTTCATTATGAATTCCTCCTGCTCCATGTCTAGGTAGATTGCAAACTCGATTAATACTTGATTTTTCCTAGTTGATATACACTATATTGCCCATGGAAGAATGTATAGGTTATATCAGGACGGAGCACTTACTGATGAGAAGTAAATATCTTCCAACCATCGAGCACCTGGGCTAGTGGAATAGAATGATCCCTTCTCCAGCTCTGAACAGCAGCAGTATTTTCAACCATTATGACAAAGTCTTGAGTCCGACCTTTGTAGATAACCTTGGATTGTTCTTTGTTCCCTCGGGTCATTCTGGAAAGTCCTAGTTCGCTTTGAATTTACTATGATTGCTGATTGCTGATTGCTCTTCAATCGACGATAATTCAACGATTTTTGGAGAACGTAGCATAGAGTGCTTTTAAGCATAAGTCGGCGAGACAAATTTGATGGTGCTTCAGAAGTGAGGGGAGGCGCTCTCAATGTTATGGGGCGTCATTATGACACATGCCGCAGCGCTTGGATCACGGGACGTCGGAGGTCACTGAAGTAGGACTTCTGCTGGATGGCTTTCTAAGATGTAACACTCTAGGCTGTTTACGCCAATTTGATAAGATATGCCAGTATTGGTTTCATGTAATGATACGTATCAATTTCATACTATTAAGTGAAAACGGTGTCCTTCGTCGGATATGAAAGAATCAATGCTGTTCCAGAAACTTCCTTGGACACCGCGGGATTTTAATTATTCGTATCCTTTGATCTTTGCTCCCCAGTCAGTGGTAGACTGAAGTCTGATTCCCAAACAATCAGAGCTCAATTAACTCTGAAGACATTCTATGAGGCACAGTACAAGTTCGGCCTACTTCCAAACACTAAAGTCGCTAACACCTCAAGTATGGTGGGGAAGGAGCTGTGTGGATCTGTTGATTTCAGCGTTAAATATTACCCAGGGAATGGTTGTGCGTGGTTCGGATTTTGGAAATATCAGTGGCTGCCGGTCTGAGATAGATTCGATGGGACGCATCGCATCGTCTAGTTCAATGAATTCCTCGTCGGAAAACGTTTCACTTCCCGGAAGGATTGCAAGATAAAGTCAAATACAAGGGTCTTCCTTTAATAATTTCGCTTAGAGACGTAGTTATTTCTGGCAAATTTAAGGCCGGGTGTGGATAGCGTAGGGCGCACGTTTTTGACCCAGAATCAGGAGATGTGTCGACCTCACGACTTTCGGCTTTGGAGGTTGGATGTCATTTTCCGAAGAAGTCAGGAAAGAGAACAGAAGATTTTCTTGGCTACCTCGTTGATGTCAGCATGAGCTCTACAACATATCTTTCGACTTTTCTGGTTGATATGGTCCGTAGGACCCCGGGAAGCAAATCGTGGCCATGAATCAGCATTATCAACAATACAAACCGTTACGCGAATCATTAATGCATACATGTCCATTTTCGTGGTCTATCAATGTGAGCAACGGTAGGAAAGACTATATAATAATAATGAAAGGTTGACAAGTAACTGAAAGATTACAATAAGCAAGGAGAGGGTAGTCCCCCGTATGCTCCCCTCCCCTGGCAAAAATGACAGAGCCGACCCAGGGCAGAGCTCTGCAGAAGGCCTTCAATGGTTGCCACCCTTACGTGACGCGAACTGGTTAAGTTTGGTCTCTCAGTTGGCCTCTTGCCGAGGAGAGAACTGAGCAGAATCACACGGGATATGAAGTATTGGGCTGTTCGTCCAATCACAAGAGATTTATGGTGGCTACAGTCCCTGATCCAGAAGCTTTCAAGCTCTTCAGAACGACAGCTGGAAGATGCATTACAAAGAAATTCTTGGCGTTTACTGGCTATGTTGAGATAATAATTTACTTTTCTCTAAGGTGGTATGTATCCCGGGCGGACCGAAGTCGTGGGGAGAAAATCAAGCACTGTGGTATGATCTACTCCTAGCCTAGTGGGTTGTATCCGCACCCCTTATCAGCCCTTTTTATTATATGGAGACAAATACTCTATCTCATAAGCTTTGATGTGATCGAATTGGCTGGCCATAATAGTGATTTAAGGTTCAAAAGTACTAATATGTTTGCTAATCTAACTTCAAATGAATACCAGTAATTTACCCTATAGGTCATTAACTATTTCACGCCGAGAAAAAGAAAGAAAAAGGAAACATATGTAAGAAAGAAAGGAAGGGCCCCATCGAAAGGGGGCGAAGAAGAGCAAGTGGAGACCGGTACTAGCATAATTGTGTCGCCTGAAGATAAGGGTGATGGTGGGGAGATTCGCGAGAGGAACCCTGTGTTTAACGAGATGAATCTTCTCGTTAAAGGTAGCCTATTCGAAAGTCTACCAGGTTCATGTTGGACACTGCATTTTCCTGCATTCAGTAGGCTGTTTGCCTCCTTTCCGTGATCATAGTTTCCCTGTAAGTGGCGAAACTATTAACTGTGCCCATAGCAAATCATTCCGTGGTCTGCCACGGGCTGATGAGGATGGAGGAGACCGCTGAGATACCTCAAGACCCCCAATCTAGAAACTCTATCTACGGAACTGACCCTGTAGGATGATTTTGAGTTGCATCGAATTGACTTGCTAAATACTCTGGGTTCATGGGCTCGGGCTTTCTTTAGCATTTCCCAAACGAGTCTTTTGAAGATATGGTCATCTGGCAGCAGTTCATCACCGCTTCCATCGTTCAGCAGATGATAATCAACATGTGATCGTTGAGCGCGGCTGCGTATGCAAGAGAAGCTGTCATCAATTTCGATAAAGTTCAAGCTGAATCTGAAATACTTTGGGTCCATATTTGAAAGACAATACAGTAGATGAAGAACAAAATTCATAGAGTGTCAACGAATAAGGTCACATAGCAGATTTTTTTGGCAAACCTTTTAAATACTTTCGAATATTCCGGATAAAGAAATCCCTAGACTAGTATGCCGCGCAGATCGATGGACTGAGACTTTATCCTATGACATGGTTCAACACCTAAGTACTATTTCTAATACAGCATTTCCTGAGATAAGTTGGTATAGGCTTACTCCGGCTGGAATATCATAGCCAGAAATTCGAACGGGAATCACAACCTGGCACTGTAAACCACCTAGGGCTGTTGGGTACAGTCGAAACGTCTCCTCGATACAAGCAAGTACATAAGGGAGCGGTAAGCTGACAGTATTGAAGTTAGTGCCAATTTCAGCGTTCATCGTCGATCAGAGGTCCCTCGTGACCTTCCTAAGGGTATCAGGTGTCTGTAACAACCAGTATGTCGCCCGAGGGCAATGTCGCTGTAGTTTGGCTACTGGTGATGATGAGAATATTAGCATCAGCTTCTAGCTGATGGTCGGTGGGAGAATTCTTGACTCCACGTTAGCGAAACAGAGAGTCCATAAAGTTGCTGTGGTCATGTGCAGAGGGTTACCTAATATCTACTGGAATACTCTTGGGGTATTCAACTCATCTCTGTCAAGCTGCCAAGAGGTTCTTGAGCGCAAAGATGAATAGGGCCTTAGGGATTCATGGGTATGGGTCCTGTACCCTGAGGAACGGGGTAACTATGATACAAATCGAAGATCTTTGACAACAAATAACGGTACTGGGAATTCTCTAGGCCACCAAAGGATTGTCGATTCAGAAATTCCTTCGCCCCTCCCAATTAGCTTGTCGATGTATCTCGTGAGGAAAGACTTTTCTGTTTGCAAGCTTTTTTCAGAGAAGGAATGGGACAAGGACTGCGGAATCGACTATGATCTATATCATGGCAACCTCTAAGGTTTAACACGTGACTCTCCGTTTTGAGCTCAAAAGGGTTCATCCATGGAAGTGAAACAAGGCGATGACGTGGAGATTCGTCTGTCCTAGTGTAATCCATCGAGCAATCTCTGTCAAGGTATATTGGTGGCAATTCATAAAGTGCAATTTCCTCAATGCGCTGTTCTTCGTTCTCAAACAATTAACTACATATGTTCCCTGCATTTTACAATGGAATCTGGACGGGACAAAAAGTCCGATTCCCAGGCTGGAAGAAATCTCTCGTCGTCATCGTAATATATGGCACTCTGAGCTAATATATTGCCAGGCTCTCTCCGAGAATGAGAAACGGTGCCTCCGCATTTATGGAAGGCTGCCTTATGGAGGAGGATTACTCGGACAGCAGTAAGGCATGTTTACAAGACACTGGCCCATACTAGTTACTGATGAGCAATAGGAACGGAGATACTTTGACTCGGGTGATTTAGCTCTCTCTGCAGCTGACATTGTGACGGATAACGGTGCAATTCAAACTGGCGCAGCCCATCCTATACGTGAGAGCATTTCGCGTCCTTATGCTCCGGTTCCCAACACAAGTAATGCCAACAAAGATGCCAACAGGGAATTGGGTGGCAATAAAAGCCCAACTCCGGAAATGATAGATAGTCCCTTGCATCAGCAAATCGATAGTGGGAAGAAGGAGATGTAGAAGCCAGAAAAAGCACTTCAGTATGAATCAGACTTTTTAACTTTCACCAAAAAGCTCACAAAAGACTTGGTAGCCCATTTCGAAGGTAGCAGGGAAGCCTATTATTTTCTCTAGGACATGATCAATCCCGTTGCATTACAAAATTATTTTAGCACAAGCGTTCATATCTCTGGTTTCCAACGCTCGGAAACTGGCACGGTGTGCCACCATTTTCTGTAGCATATATCCGAAAAATTGGCTAATTCAGATTATCATCTTCTCCGAGCGCTTAGAATTCCAGTGGACTAAAAAGTCCAACGAAAGATTAAACAATTTGATCACCTAGCATTGGTAGAGGTACTCAAAACAAGGACCATGTTTCACTGGATATGGACTTGCTATACCCAATTGAATTCGAAATGATACGACATTATCCAAACACCCCGGAAGATGATGTATGCTCCAATTTGCGGTCAGCTTCCAAAACATCCCTTCCATGCCTCAAAGTCATAAGCTCCAAAGTAGCCTGTAAGTTTTCTTCACTAACGAGGGTCCTCTCAGGGAATGGACTAGATGGGCTGGCACGTTCCCAGAGGACCGAAAATCCTTCGAGACTTTGTTTGTATGAGTCTTCCTCTGTACCGACATGTCTGCTGATAATTTCAAAAAGTTCTTTGTAAGAAAGGTTCTCGCTGACAATAATAGGTGTCATGACTGCTCCAATTCGTAGCATAAGAGGTATGCTGCGAGACATCTCGACGCAGAACGTTAATATTAAAGTGGAGACTGGATACGCAGAGGATCCAAGTTGACTGGTTGCGTGTGTCTTGGTACAATATACCTTCCCTTAATCATTGAAGGCATATAATGTCATGGAATGTTAGAGAGCTATTATGTGAAACCAGCAGAATTTATAGTCACATATTTCGTAGGGGCTCTGCTCTCAAATCATATGGGTATGACCTAACTATTGCATCATGGCACTGAACCTAAAATTTCCTCTCTGATAAACGTTCACTATCGGACAATAATAACTAGACCCTGGAGTGCTACTGCATGCAGACTCTCATCAGCCTCGTGCATATTTGGAACGCAAACCTTATTGATTTGTCGAGTTTCCTCTTAGATATCAATAGGCGTACCAGTCACTCTTTCAACGGTCGCCCTACCCCACAACTGAATATAGCCCCGCTGAAAGGGGTTTTCGCCACAGACTACGCTCGAAGCGTCTGATTCTCTGCAACATATCATAGCTCCCTCCTTCCTCTCCCATTTAGTGATCTTGTTCCATTCCACTAGCCGTTCTTTATCAAAATTATACAAATACTAAACAGCGTCATTCGAGATGCAGATAGCATGAGATAGTAGAATAATTCTGCAGATTGGGCGTGCAGTAGCAGATCAAACATGTCTTTACGACTAGCAGAATAGAATGAGTGAGAGTATCTTCTTATCAAAGTTCCGAGCCAACCTCCAGCACCGGCACAAGGATTGACAAAAGTATATAGAAAAGCGTTGGGGAGGTTCTCACGGATAATACTTCTGGCGATCTTGGGGGCAGTATGTCTCACAGCGGGGATGCGAAGATTCCAGGGTGCAGTGATAGTTTTCGATGAAATTATCCATCGAGTCAGGACACCAGGACTGATCTTCTATTTCGAATAGCCGGAAGCGGGGGAAAAAAAAGACCATGTTGGGTCAGGGTAGTATGGAGTCTGTTTAGACGTCCTTTGGCTTCTTTCACTTCGTTTATATACATACGAGTTCATGTATCGAGATAATGCCCAGATTTAAGTATGTCTACAACTTTTTACAATGTACAATTGCGACCCAATTCTCTGGATTGCCTTGCCACTATGCCACAGAGCTACCTGTTACTAAGAGCGAAGAATGTTTCACAGATTGTACTTTCGCAAGTTGTTTACATGAATAACAGCTTTCAAAATCGGTATTCGCGCAGCTTACATTTTAACGAGCATGCCCTTTGGGGCGAGAATGGACGGGGCAGTAAAGCCAACTGAAAGCGTTAATCTAAAATGAACACAGGGATGGGTGGGTAAGAAAAGGCACAATGGAATGTTTCCTGGAGCAGGTGGGGCAATCCCACAAGCAACCCTCCACAGCAATCCGCAGCGATCATCAGTGAGAGCCGCTATTTCCTAACTAATCATGATTAGTTAGACACACTTCATACTGGACCCAGATCCTCAGCTCTTGCCTTCGACGACAGCGAGGCCACGCGTATAGTGTTTGTGCGACGTTCCACTATGATGGTTGTTGGATTTCTGCGTGGCGGAAGGGCAAGACCAACCCATGCGAAAAGTGAGAAGAAAGGGACCATAAAACTAAAGGGAATAAAGTTAGAAAACACTGGGGTCTATCTGAACTACAGTGAAAACCGGAAATGAGACATAGGAGTCTGAAAAGATTGGACTAATATCATTATTGGCTAGGATATATACACACCCGACGGCGATTGGCTTACTAGTTTGAATTAACTAAGTCTTAGGCCGACGCAGGATTCGGTATAACTTGACTATCTCCTTATAATAGACTGTATGTATAATAAATATTGAGATCTATCGGTCTTAGTGTTCTATCTATACCTAACTTATCATTTAAACTATATATTGTTGGTCGTATATATAGCGTTGTTGTTGAAACTTGCATATAGTTATAGTTATATAAACCTCTGGACCAATCAAAATAACTAGTTAATTATACAGATAGATTATAAGAGAAAGTAGGAAATGGAGTAGTTAAGTAGTGGATTGGAAACCAATTAGAACCCAGATCCTTTCGCGCAGCCCCTAAAATATTTTGCTTCGCCTACGCCCCACCACACGACCTATTGCAAACTCAAGATCATAACTTAAGCTATCTGCTCTCTTAAATGAATTTGTTATAGTAGAGCACTTGGTCAGATGCCCGCTTTTGATCTAACTTTTCAGAGCTAAACGTTCCACGAGGGGCTGTTGAACCTCTTACCGCGTCAGTGTATGAGCGGTGAGCTAAGAGTTTGCCGGACCAACTGAGTAATTTTCCTGTGCCTTTGAAGTAACTATTATGTAGGTAAGTATCAGGCCAAAGATCATGCTCTGTACTCACAAAACTTTCAAACCACGACTGTGATGCCCACACGCTACTCAGCGGGGCATGGAGAGTATTTTCCACGATCTGAAGGTATTAACTATTGTGGCGCAAGAGCAAGCACGGATACGGAGAATTGATCCAGTGCCCAACCTTGGTGTCCGGAACCCAATTCCTTCGGGGGTGAATCGAGAGCAATTCGATCCAATTCAATCGTCCTCGTGGGTGTAGGCTACTTAAACACTGCACGCTTCCCCTACCACCGATTTTTTCACAACCTCTGAACTCTTCATCATTTCTACCCTTCTCTCGGACTTTTCTTCCGTAGTCATTCACAATATCAGACCGCAAAGAAAATGATCACACTTTCGTATGTCTCTCTAAAGCTCACTCTTCCCTTATATCTGCACAGTCTTAATTTAACCGGAGGTCTGTTGCTACCTCAAATCTATGTGGACCCCCCGTGTTTACAATCACCTAGAGCACACGCGAAACTTTAAAGGTCGAACCAAGTTATTAACATGCCCTAGGATGAGGAGAACGCTGTCAAACCTGTAACATGGTCTGAAAAGAGCTCGGATTTACGTAAGAATGCTTACATCATTATTGAGGGCCGGCCGTGCAAAGTTGTTGATATTTCTGTCGAAGAGAGTCGGGCTATGACACAAGTGAAAGGTGTGGACATCTTTACTGGCAGACAGCTTGAAATGGAGTTTCTTCCTGACCATTCCGTCGATATCCCGGCGGTGCGGTGTTTGGAGTATCAGCTTGTAAGTTAACGATACATGGCAAACGCAAAGAGTATCCTTATCATATATAGATCAATGTTGATGAAGGTTTCCTCAACCTAGTGACGCAGGATTGGGTCGCAAAAGACGATGTCAAGGTTCCTGTAGGTGACATTGGTAATCAGATTACAAGCGACTTCGATGCGGGCAAGGACGTCTGTAAGTGATACTAGAACATATCGTCAACATTTAAGGACACTGACCGAATATTTTGTCTCTAGTAGTTACGGTTGTCTCGGCCATGGGCGAGGAAGCTGCTGTTGGATGTAAGGAGTCCCAAAAGGTGCATAAGGTGTGCTGTTATGGTCTATTCAGTTTCTACCGGTTTTGCTTCTGCGAAGGATTGTTGCGGCCTCAGCCTCCCAAATATTGCAACATGTGTGCCAGGGTCACCGCAGCCACGCCTATTTTTGATTGAATAAGACTACAATTCTTCCCAGGTATCCTACCTTACCTAGTGTACGGACCACTTGCACTGGATAGTAGATCTTTACACCTAGCTTATGGAAGTAAAGATATCATGGATAACCAGAGGACTCTCTTCTGATTGCTTCTCTGATAGTTCCTATTCAGGCTCTGTGCGCTCCCTTACCGTATTACTTTTCTTGTTCGCCAGTAGTCCTTGTCTCTCCTATTGCCATATAGTCAATGAGCTTGCGTCCGTCTCTGCGACGATTCGTTTTCTAGCGACTTGTTTTATCGCCACGTATACTATTGCCCCTGGCCGACTGACGGTGTAAGCGGAAATCAGAAGAAGAAAGGTTGGCAGGATAATCTGCCTGCCATCAGGATATGGCGTGCTGTCTAGTACCCAGTGATGATGAAGCACCAGGTATAAGTCATCGACATTCATAACGGGTTTGTCTCCGGCAGACAGGTCTAGTTTATATAAGGGCACCAGGGTGCCGGTCATGTACTGGCCAGTAGTTAGTGAACAGAGCAGGGAGAGACACTGATAGAGCTTACATCATTAATGTCACTATGGCATTTGGCGTCAAGACTGCAGCCAATAGCTTGGTAATATACTTGGCACCATTACCTCCAGTTTTCATGTGAACTGCTGAACCTTTTTATTACATATTATTAAGTATCGATTTTAAAAGATCATGGCATCTTTTTTCCAGGCTGCCGCAATGAATTTTAGCCAGTATTCCCTGAGAAAGTCGCAGTACCTCATGCCAATCCACTGCAAGCATCCTACGAGCTTATTCTAGTACAAGGAATAGATTCTCACTTCGTCTACTTATCCTTGACACCTTTGATATTGTTCTTCCTTACTTTAGTATATCGTTTCCGAAAAACGCCTGTGTTTTCCAGATCTCGACAATATTGCCGATAGTATTCTGGGCCAAATATAGTCTGTTTGTTAGACTATAAAGAACCGAAGAACCCAAGACAGAAGTTCCTTGATAAAATATAATTTGAGGGAGAAAGAGCAGGAAGCCGAATTGGCTCTTTAAAGGACAATTTGACATTATAAGTATATGATTGGTTCATGGGAACCTCTCGAACCGTTTTTGCAGGTTTCATGTGGTTATCCTAAAGAGGATGATTAGCTCAGCTACGCCAGTCAAATAACCAATTAACGAATGTAGGACTGATTCAAAAACGACTCACATAACAGATAAAGTGGTACTCCACTTAACAAATGTCTCACTGCTTCCTTTCCCATTGATTGGATTAACAAAGAACAGCAATGTCTGAGAATTTATTAATAACATAAGTCTGGTCTCAGGGTTTCCACAAAAGGCACAACAACATAAATATTTAATCTTTGGCAATTACTGGTTCTGCTCTTTACAAAGCAAACAACCCATGAATCTCCAATACATGCCACTTCCTCGTTTAACCGATTATGGCAAGGGATCTATCTGACCTAACGGCCACTTTCTGCCTAGACCCATCAGAGGTATTCGAATCGTTCAATACCTTGGCTAGGTGCTTTAGTATCGTTGGGTCTTCGGGAGCGCACAGATAACTCTGGTCCATCCTCAGAACGCTGCTATCTGCATGTCAACAGTACTTTGGGGGACCTTATCAGGAAGTGCCTTAACCAGTACTGTCAAATGCCAGATCCACAGTTGAAGGGATGCAGTTCAGAGGGGTACCCTCCGGACGAGTTTTATCGCCTGTTCGCCCGCCCCGAACCAGAATTCGAAACTGTGACCTGTCGTAGTATCAACGTTAGCGCAAATCGAGATATTAGTGGTGTAGGGGTGAATCTGCCTAGAAGGTTCTGTATCTTGACTGCATGACTTATTAATATTTATCTTTTCGCGCGAATCGCAGGCGTTGCTCTCATTGGCGATGCAATCTGGCATCCTTGCCTTTATCCATTTCGCTGTACTCATACTAAAATTCTTTCCGGGAGTCACAAGATGCATACGACACCGCCACTTCTCCGCCCTTAAGTTCACGTTAGTGGAGTTTCAGGAGGCTCAATGCTTCTACATGCTGTCCTTTCAGTTTACTGCCCTGACTGCTCTTGTAGCTGGCCCGCAGCTCTATAAAGCAACTAGTTTGGCGCAGCTTACATCGAACACCTCCATGGTTAAGACTGTGACGTTAATGGGTGTGCTTCCGATTACACATGGCCTTTGAATTCTACACAGGGTTGACTTACATTCGTGGTATATTTCTTTGTGGTCCGCTATCACGATAGTGGTATCTAGTGTCACTCTCCATCTATGTAAGATAGAGCCTAGAGTGGCCAATTTGCAGAGTATTGCAACCGCCAGTCATCTAGACAAATATGGCTATCACCCTCCTCCCCTTATATATTACCGGCCACATTCCGATTATTACTTCTTCTGTAACCTTTTTTCGGGTCAAATTAAGACTAGGTTAACAGTGGACCAGTGAGCTTAATACAGACCTTACCAGGAGAACAAGCTCAAAAGATAATCGCTATGTGAAGAGTGATCGCAACTTTATCATAGCCTCCTGAGGTGAGGGAATACCTTGTATATTTCCTCGGAGTTTCTTGACAGTTTCATTGATGCCTTCATACAGAACGCGGACTAACTGTAAAAGAATTTGTTAGGTATCTGATGCATCTTTGTGCTTCTACCAATGTTCTTTGCGGCGTTTGTCCTTCGAGAAATCAAATACACACCCAGAACCCGAGGCTGTACTTCCTTGATAAATAGCTGTATCGGTGCACTATTAGTTGTGAGAAACCTGAAAAAAGAAGTAAAGAAAAGGATCATATAATGATCTTTGCATGTTTCCCTTGGCAGATTGGGCAAGCCGTAGGTTGTCACTTCCGCTTCAAGACAGTACCCAATATGGACCCTCGTTGACGATCTTCCTAGATTTACTGGAAAATAAAAGCTTGATGTAGTTAGGAAATTAATACATCCTTCTGGTTAGCTGAGTTGATATATAGTCGTTTCGCCTCCGCGATCGTTTTGTGCTGCTTGCTTCTTCTTTCTAACCGGTTTATATGATTTTACTGATATCGTAGTTGACGTACTCGGTGAACCAGTGGCCCAACGCGTGGCCATATAGAAATTTAGAATGGTCAAAAAAGCATGAATTTAAGACCGATATAAAAATGAGTAATCCTATCAAGTCGGACAGTGCGTAAATTTATAGCCCTGTATGCCACAGTAGAACATCTGAATGGGGCGCGCTTAGGGGCTGAGACTGACTTTAGTTGTAAATTCGTAAATATTATGTTACGGATTTATAGGCGTATCGTTTCACCCTACTCATTAAAAGCAAATGGAAAACTTCAAGGCTTGCTAACAAAAGTCGATACAGACTTTTCCTGTATGCTGTCTGCTCGCAAGGTATGCGTATGCATCAACCACTTGGTCCCGGCCGAACTTGAAAGTCTTCTCAACAGGGACAGGTATGTTACGAGCTCCGATGAATCGAACAGCATCCTCAAGCAGCTGCTTAGAGCCAACCATGATGCCACGAACAATTACTCCTTTTGCCAATGCAAGACCGGCTACATCCGGCATGGTATGCTGGAGAGAAGGTGAGAGAAAGCCTATAACTGCAATATTACCACCGTAGGCAACAGCTTCCAAGGACTGCTTGATAGTCCCAGAGCCACCGTTTTCAAGTATGTAGTCTACACCGCTGCCGTGGGTGATCTTCTGTACCTCTTCTGCCCATTTTGGAGTGGTCTTGTAGTTGATGGTATAATCAGCTCCGTACTTTTGCTGAATATACTGTAGCTTCTCCTCCGAAGAAGATGTGATAATAGTAGTGGCACCAGCAGCCTTTGCAAGAACGAGACCAGTGACAGACACCCCTCCAGTACCTATCACTTCCAGTTAGATCTCTATTCTACTACAAATTCCGGATGACTTACCAAGGCAGAGAACAGTATCTCCTGGCTTCAGAGGAATATTCCCGTAGAAAGAGTTCCATACAGTGGTCCCGGTGCAAACAACACTAGCCCATTGGCTATAGCTAAGATGGGAATCCGGAAGCTTGACGACTGCCGTCGATGGAACTGCTACATATTCTCTTAGAACACCGTCAATTGGGCCACCAAGTCCATTATTCCAGTTTCTGATCGGACCATATAAGGTAGCAAGATCAAAAGTCACAATCACCTTGTCTCCTTTCGTGAATCCTTGAACCCCCTCCCCAACACCAACAATATCACCAGCAGCATCAGATCCAGGCACAACATTATTTTTTACAGGAAAAGGGTACTTGCCAGTGGATATAGCAATATCCCGGAAGTTCAATGCTACACTGCGCACTTTGATGGCTACTTCATGCTTGCCAGCGGAAGGCACCGACTCTTTGAATTCAGCAAGTTGTTCCCAGGAATCGTGGCCTAGAAGACGAAGAACAGCTTGAGAAGGCATTCTGTATTTGGGCGAGGTTTTTCTCATTAAGAAAAAAGAAAAAAGACGAAAAAAGGAAGTAAAAAAGAGACGGAAAGAGATTTCTAAGTCAATATTGGCTTGTGAATTCCCGGAATGTCCCAGTATCCTACCGTTCTTTTCAGATGTCTTGCCCTTAGATTTGTTCGGTATTGCTAAGCATAGTGTCTATGATTTCTCTCAAACACAAGCTAGGTTGCACCATGGAGATGGCGTATGTCGCTGGTGGAAAGGAGGTAGCACTGCTGAGAGTTCTGTAAATGTGTATTCGAAACAAGATATACCGCTTGTTATAAGGTTTGTCACATATCACGTAACAATGACGTGACGGTGGATGAAAACACAACCACTAAACCCACCATCCTATTTCTACATACCATTCACAAATAATCTCTGAATTGCTGAGATTCTGCGACCAAAGTCTCACAATAATCCTAGCTGCTCATATCAAAACCGATGTAGACACTACTGTTGGATAATATCAACGAGGCATCAGAACTGATGCTTCACAACAATATCCATAATGACGGACTTCTACATCGCAGGTATGCCTGGTTAGAATGATCGCATTATAATGTGCTGGAACGACTCATGGTACCACATTTGGGATTCTGACTATTATCACACTGTCAAGCAGTATCGCGTGAAAAAATAACGGTTATGATGATATATCTCCCAGGATTCAATAGTGGCGAGATACGCTCCTAGATTTCCTGTTATACTACTTACGGTTCTTCTTCCTGGTCTGGGTGAGATTACCGGTAAACTTCCCTTACGAAAAAGGAATACGACTTGGCTATCAAATGTTTACTGTCCAAGATTGTCTCGATGATCATACTTTTCCATCTGGTCCACGACCAATTATATGCAATATGGATAGCTGTGCTCCTGCCTCTATTCCAAATAGACAAGATTTGGTTTCATGGTGGGAAACTGGGGTCAACATGCTTTCGTAGATAAGGCTCCATGAGAATCATAAAGGTGTGATCAATCTTAGATATCAAAGGCCCTGAAAACAAGATTAGAAAAATACCGGAGCAGTGATGCCATTCACAGGTACTGCCTAGAATATGTTAACACGTAGTCTATGACGACAGTATCGTGTGTACCATCATAGATATCGCATTTCACCCAACCAACTTACATTATTACATCATATTATTATGCTAGACAAGGTGCAGTGATTTTTCATACATCTAATACCATCAATTGAACCCCTGGGGATCATGCTCTCTCAACAACATAGTGAGCCGTACTCTTGCTGTGACCGCCATCTGAGTGTTTCAATAACCAGGTCATAATCTCTGCTCCCCACATATGTACCGACGGCTGGCTTGGTCTTGGGCACTTGGCTGTGTTCCCGGAATAACTTTCCTACGGGTCGGGTGAGAGAAACACCTTTATTACACAGCGTTTCCCCTGTTTCAACTTTGCAACATGCTGGTGCACATACATAACGCACGATGCGTTGCAATCACCAAATTATACTCAAGAATGCCGAAACTACATCATATGCGGAATATGTAGCCGCTCATTGCTCAGTAGGTATTATTAGAACTTTGGCTGGCGCAAGCAGCGGTATTGCCTCCAGCATAGTGACATGCCCGCTGGATGTGGTTAAAACAAGGCTGCAAGCTCAAGGTGGCTTTCGACATAAGTCGATTTCCACAAACATACCGTTCGCAAGTCGAGGCCTACTTGGCGTGGGCCACGCAGTTTGGCATGAGAAGGGTCTGAAGGGGATGTACCAGGGACTGGGCCCAACTCTCCTAGGGCATGTACCTAGATGGGCTATCTTTTTCAGTACCTACCACCGAAGCCGTGAAATATTTCATGCATGTCTTGGTCAGTCGACCCAGCTTAGTTGGCCAACGTACCGTGCATTGAGAACTGATTTATCAGGGGCAGACCTCGAGAGCCAATGGGTCTCTTCCCTAATGGCCTCAGCGACAGCGGGCACTTGTTCTATAGTTGCTACTATCCCAATTCAATTTATCAAGACCAGACTAATGTCTCAGACCAACACATCTAGTCAGACATATGCGATGCCGAAGTGGCAGTACAAGTCGGCATTTGATGCAGCTCAGCAAATTTATCGCAATGAGGGCATATTAGCCTTCTATTCAGGTTTAACACCGGCCCTTCTCGGCCTATCGCAGCTTGCAATCCAATTTCCTCTTTACGAGACGCTAAAGAGAGGACTAACAGGGTCAGGGCTTGGTGAAATCAAAGACTGCCAAAATAAAACCTCGGGGATTATAGCCGCCGGATTCCTGAGTAAGATAGTTTCCACGTCTTTGGCGTACCCTCACGAAGTTATCCGAACACGGCTTCAAACCCAGCAGATTTTGAAATCTTCTACACCGTTATACCAACGGTATACAGGGATTGTGCAAACCGCCCGAACTATTTGGTTGGAAGAGGGGTGGCATGCTTTATATGCAGGCTTCGGGACAAATTTGATGCGAGCTGTACCAGCCTCGATAGCCACCATGTTGGTCTACGAGAATATGCTCAGTAAATTAACTGAGCTTAAAGCCAATGGGGAAAGGAAATTGGGTTGGTAAAGCTGTGTCAAGTAACAATTTGCACTGAGGCGGTGCTACCTGGCCACACCCTATACAGCTAACCAACCTATGCTACTATTTTTAGCAGTTAGTACGGTGCAACAAGGACATTGCTGTTTCCAAGTACAGCAATACCATGCTGACTGCCCTACCGAACGTAGCACATACGGGAAGTGTTTCTGAACTTTCATACGAGCTAGACTCCGTATGCACACCCGTTTTGACCTATAGAGCAATCTAAGTACCGTTCGTCCAGAAACAGCGTTAACTCCTTGATATTTTGGTGTGTACAGATAGAGGAATAGCCCAGCATGATGAGCATATGCAGTATCACTACCACTGAATAGCCACGTAATACAGTCAAAGTCTATTTATATTATAGTATCCGCTTCGAGAGAGCCGATGTGTGGCGGCATGAATGGAGGTATAACCATTTCTGAAACTTCCTAGTGTAGACCATATTGTGCTGCAATCGCCATCTTGCATCTTAAAATAATAATAATAACAATAATGTAGCCACGTCAAATGCAGATTTAGTGGCCGCCCCAGTGCTCGATTGACATTTAGATGTACTTCTTTGGTACAATGGCTCGCTAGTTCATGGTTACCTTTGATAGTTCCAAGGAAGGAATTATCAACAGGGGTATATCAGAGAAGGATTACATTCTATTTGTTCATTCATAAAGTCTCGTCCTGACACCCAAGTACATCACATCATGTAAGCTATAAGCGGCTGGCTATAAGCCCCAAATCACGGAGAAATGAAGCTTCCCCACCTCACTGTCATTCTGTTATGTCACCTATATTTTAATCTGTACTACAATGAGCTGAACTAGCCACCTTGCGACCCGGTCTGCATGACTGTACATGAAAAGGCTCGTATTCGTTGGTATGTCAGCTCGCGCGAGGGACATCTCGAAAAGTGACAAGTTAGTTAATATATTGTTTTATATAATCCAACGCAAACTAACTACTCCAGCTGTTGCCTTGCAAATCGCATCACATCCAAAATTCACTGTCTTTGTCCGAGTATTAGATACATAGTTTTCTGCTGAGGCCTTCCCGTTGAGAGCGTTAGCTGTACCAAAGGCAAAAAAGCATAGTTTCTAAGGAGGTCTCCCACGATAAGCCAAGGAAACCACTTATCTTACGGGCAACTATTTCGCCGCTTTGGCACTCGCCGTCCGGTAGAATGTGAATTATTTATGTGGGTCTCGCTCTGTATCGCAGGGAGATCAAAGTTAAAATACAAATCTAACGATTGCAAAAGGTGATAGGACGGAATATTCGGACTTGAGTCTGTTGATCTAGGATATTTCTACCACATTTATTCAGTTGAGGAACCACGCCGCAACTGTGCGCTAATGAAAATAATGGATCCATCAGAATAAGACATGTATTGTGGACTATCCGTCGTTCAACCACATTATGTCCCATATATAAGCTATACCAGTCTCAATCGGAAGGATAGTCAATTTTAGAAGCTTTTCTAGGGTCGATAATCAAACCAAAATTTTCAAGGGCAAAAAGGCTAGCACAGACCTTGACAAGGCCCTCATTCTGCTTCTGCCTTGTAACGGTACTGTATAAAACTGAATTGCTATAGTTGTGGTAGCGTATGTATTGCACAAAAGAAGGGAGGTAAGGTAGAAGAAAGCAGCCACCACCACATTTGTATCCGTAGGACTATTAAGTTTCTCAAAACTAAACATCAATTTGTAAATTGGCGCCTTTTAATATTGATTCTCCAAGCCTTCTGGAACTGCTATTCGGGGTCAAATTAAGGCTGGCTAACAGTGCGCCAGTGGCCTTACCCAGCGAACAAGCTCGAAGATGATCACTAAGGGAATAATGATCGCAAATTTACCATGGCCTCTTGGAGTGAGGGAACGCCTTGTATATTTCCTCGGAGTCTCTTGACAGCTTCATCAGTGCCATCATACAAAATGCAGACTAACTGTAAAAGAATTTGGTAGGTGTCCAATGCATCTCTCTGTGCTTTTAGCAAGGTTTCCTTGCGGCGTTTGTCCTTCGAGAAATCAAATACGCACTCAGAACCCGAGGCTGTACATCCCTGACAAGGCGTCGTACCGGTGCACTGTTAGTTGTCAGAAACCTGAAAAGAGAAGGAAAGGAACATATAATCACCTTTGCACGTTTCCTTTGGCAGGTCGTGCAAGCCGTAGTTTGTCGCCTTCGCTTCAAGACAGTACCGAAATTAGAGTCTCGTTGAGGGTCTTCCTGTATTGAGGTTTTAGGAAGTAAGAGTCTTGCTGAGTTTCCAGTATTTCTGGACATACCTAAGAATTATAGGAAAATAAAAGCTTGGCAGAAGTGGGTTGAAAAGTTATACACTGTTCCTTCTAGCTGACCAAGTTATTATATAGTGTTGCCTCTCTCCCGCAACTTATTTTCTTCTGCTTGCTTCTTTCTGTTTCCTTGCTTAATCATATAATCTCACTGACATCATAACTAGTGATCGTAGAGTTCAATCTATGTTTAGCATATTACATAAGAAGGAAATCCATAGCGTGAATAAACGGGTGGCCGAATAGTGAGAGACGCTTTACAAGAGTAACTTAGAATTTTGAAATAGAAAATAGCAACATATGACAAGAGTCAGGCAGATGAAAATATTGTATCAAATTTCCTCGGGCAGTGGAAGGAGTCTCATTTAAAAATTAGATTAACAAATATGACAAATTCAATCAGCAAATTAAAGCTCAGTAGCGTGAAATCCATACCATTAACCTTTTCCTGAGGCTAGCTGACGTCATTTTCTGAAAGGCTGATCTGCTATCCTAGGTCAGCTAGAAAATTGAGCCAAGGATGAGTTTGAACTCTTTGAGTTGAGCGCAAATCCCAGATGCCATGGGCAAGCCAGAGTACGAGTTCAATAGCTAAAGCTTTGCAACCTCGCTCAAGCCTGTTTACAATCACCTCGTACATCTCATTGTCAACTACCGAAATGCTGTCATCACCAGGTCGTGAAAACCTTAGCACTGCCTCAGCTTTTCAAAAGGCTCTGGATCATTATCCTGGTCGCTAGTTTAGGCATCTCTATGTACTTGGCTTAAATTTAATCTCCTTGTGCAACAAACTTAGTTGATCAATGCTCATAAAGCCCTGTCAGATGCGCGTCATACTAGAAATATTGCGTCCGGATTCCATGGTTATCATATTATGTAGGTCTCAAGACAGAGGCAATACAGGATCATACTGAATAAAATACTAGCTCTTTGATACCCACCAGTCTGAGCCTCATCGGATATTACGCACTGACCCTATAAGCCAGTATTTCCTCTCTTAGTGAGAAATACTTGCTTTTTTAAAGTATGGATATATTATACATAGAGATCATATTCTCACTCAACCTTGAGTGTAGTTAGCTAGCAGCACGCAGGTCACCTTAGCAAGACCTTTTCCAGTTAATATTACCGTACCCTTGGAGGCAGTTACCTATTAAACTGAATAGAAAGATGCCATCTGGCTCACAAACCTTTTGCCACAGTTAGTAAATATAAGACGCCTGATTCTTTGGAAACAAAATCTCTACCCTCCGACTACATCTAACCTACATGATCGTCCTTTATGGCTCTTGTTGCTTTCAAAAAAGGATTACTGTTGAACATGCATATCATACGTCGATTATATCTGACACCAAGGTGCCGCCAGATCAAATCCACTTCCTCAAACTCTAGCGCTTCGATCACCACATCGATTCACCGTTATGCTAGCTCCAAAGATAGAACAACTCAGAATGGAGAATCAAACAGTAATGACTTGGTCGAAGATAAAGTAATTGAGAAAGACGTCAAAAACCAAGGTTAGTGACTAGGCATCCGAAGAAAGCGCACAAAATATCGAATAAGCGGTCAATCTATAATGGTAGAGGCAAAAATCATGAAACATTTTGAACACAGACTTCAAGTTGGCTAACAGTCATGGAAAAAAAAAAAGGATCCTTATCTAAAAACCCTTCACATCAGACGTCCGCAGAACCCAAAAGCACAGAAGGACAGCAGAAATACTATAGCCTTAAGAATTATCGAGAGGGGCCTAACACCGAAAGTGGTGAATTAGGCAGTAAACGTGATGAGGAAGGAGTTAAAGCACATAATAAGGATATGAAAGATAGGCATGACAGGTATTAGTTCTTGTCACAGTGAGACTCAAGGGTACTTACAAGATCCGACCGGGTAATGATTTACATCATTGAGAGCCCTGGCCGTAAGGATGAAATATATTATTCTTATCTTGCAATCGTAACTTTAGCAATTCTAAATGCAGTCCAGAAGAATGCATAAGGAGATGTGAGCAAGATGTACTTAAAATGTGCACTGAGTATCAGAAAGATAACAACAATCGCAACTATAATTATTTGATCCGCCAATTTTGTATTGCCCACCACTAGCTTATCGGCCATCGTTCTCCAACAGTTTAATCTTGGTGTTCAATTCCGTGACGCGTGGATACAACTCGAGAACCTTTGTTTGTAGATCCTGTTGTCCACAGTACCGTGCCCACGAATGGCAACAATATTTGTCAGCCCTCTGTTTCAAAACAAAAACTAAAAAGCTGGCTCTATCGCCCCAAGGTGGTAGCATAGTGGTCCAGCGCGGCCGGGTCACATCATGCGACACACATTACTACGTTGCGGAAAAGGAGGAAGGGGTCATGTCAAAACTTAATAAACCTTGTACGCACAATGATATCAATTTCGCTCGGTACTTTATATCTTGTGAACGTGTAATGGTACATGGATACAACGGCTGTCACAGACCCAATGGAGAAACCGAGTAAGCTAACTGAATGCATCAGCCAACCGCGAAAAAAAAGGAGCCTCCGTAGGTGAGCCCACCTCCACCCTAAGGTGCTATTAATTAATGCCGGCATTGATCACGTCATCAAGCTCAAGTTCTTCTTTGTGTTAAGAAGATGTGCCCGAAAGGCGAATAAGTCGAAGCAGGACAAATTTGTGGTCTAAACTTCCTAAGTAGATACGGACGATGTGCAAAGAGTATTGTAGGAAACCAGTTATATATAGCTTTTGTTGAGTGGTGCAAATAAAGCATCCGTAATCATTAATGAAAGTAAAGGGCCTCTCCCGGTAAGCCACTAAAGCCAGGAAAGAGAAAGTATAAATTATATTTTACCACGGTGCAAAAGGAACATTACTTTCTTTTACTACAACTATGCGTGAATCGTGTAGATACTTTAAGACCATGTGATCCTATCATTATCGTTTATTCTAGCCACTCCAGAAGTTCATATGATGTCCAAAATACGATATCCAAATATGTCACCGATTAGCTAATTGTCTCTGGACATTAGGGGCAGAAGGTACCGGTGGTCAATTTCTGATCCTTTCCTCCTAATAAGCACCTCATGAAGAAAGCCTCAATAATTTCTGTGTTCACCTCCATTGCACACTAGAATGTGTCTGAACTGGTATTACTCTTTGTATATTCACACTGATGCTCTGGGGGATAAATTATACACACATTTCCGTTTGACACATCACAATGGACTTAAACTCGATAGCTACTAGACACCCATTGAGACTTAGAATGCATTGAAAAACAACTAAAGCGACAGGGCACGTAACTTAATTATGACTTACCACATTGGATCGAACCGTGGATATTGACTGAGACGAGCCTACATTGACCGTAATACGAGTGCACGATCTTTCAGCACAGATTTTTCCACTTAACCGAACCCGAATGGTAAAGTAATATCAGTTATATTCAAAGAACGATACACTAATGTCTGCGCCGCAAGATTGCAGCCTGAATCTTGTTCTTTATCAACAGACTCGAATGTCCTTTTGTCGCGTTTCTTTTCTCTTGATTTTTCTTTTCCCTTTTCTTTTACGTAGAACAAAACAGAGTCTCATAAGTGTAACCACGGTAACACATGAACCTAACTTGATATCTCTGAGCTCATTGGGTATAGCGGTTGGGGCGGCGATCATTGCTGACTGGTATGATATTAGAAATGACAAGAGATTTCAAAGCTCTATTTCTGGCTAGTGAACCTGGCGCTGCTTTGCTAGACCCTAATTTGACTATGCAAACGCTCCATTTAATCTGTCTTCCCATTCCCCTAACTACTGGCAAATGGTGTCAATGCCTTTGCATATATTCAGATCCTTTGTTTCGCTTATGTTTTGGAACGTATTGCCAAAAGTCTTGAACATGGGTCACATAGATTGAAAGCTTTGTTTTACGGCACACTGACTTTTGTTTGCTCGACTGTTAATCTAACTCGAAATGAGTCATCTTAACTAGTATATGCCTGAATCCTCAGCGAGCAATCTCTTGAAGTCAAAAGGAGTGAATGGCGTCCCTCCACCAATAAAATGCTTGCTCATAGCTTCGATCCAGTGGAGACGGAGAGAGTGCAACATTGCGCTAGAACCCTCCATCACACACAAGATGCATATGGTTATGGTGAACCACAGATAGAATGTAACAATGATCATAATCACACGGCTGGTAAATGATTCAATTTTGAAAGCACCGCCGATTGTTCTGTCCCACAATACGATTGAAAGCTGCTGGTGAGCTAGAGAGAGGGCCCACAGACGGAGATAGGATGCGGTGTGAGAAATGGAATTCAAGCAGAATTCAATGGTATGGATAACTTGGTAGATCATGAGGTCGTCGAAATTAAAGACAAAACACTCTTCCTCAGCTATGCTTTGAGCACTCAGAGCGGCGCTCTCATTCTCGTCAGCTATGTGATCGCGAGATCCGGAGACATGCTCGCCTAGAAACCTGTCCTCCCCCAGTACGCTCTCTCTGGACCGCTCTTCAAAGGCCCTGCGACCAACAGTTCTGGCATTGTTATTCTCCCAGCGGAGATAGAGTGGCTTGAAGAAAAGCATAATAGGTATCTGAATAAAAGCCAGAAACAATAGAATAACTTGAACGACTGCCTGGCCCTCATAAAGCTGCTCTTGAACTTTGCCAGGAGACAAAAGCATAGAGATCAACATATTCAGAAGGTTCGGCGGGGACTGTTCACGGGATTCCCAATCAACAGACCACTTGTAGAGGACCGTAAAGGCAAGGTAACCAAAAATTGATTGAAAGAAGATCATTTCTGGGATAAAGTTACCTATAATATCGACCTTCTGGCGGAAGTGATGGGCGTTCACATATTGTAAGCAGAGTGCGTATGTCATCTAAGAGTGTTATTATATTGTCTATTGGAAGACATACAGCACGCACATGCATCCAACCCAGCAGAATACTCATCTTCATTTTCATACTGTTAGTAAAAAGAAGATAATTCTCGGCGTCATGCCAGTTCCAGTCCACTCCAAATGGAAACCGATAGCCGTCCCTTAGCGAAGCCTCGATCGTTTCGCTTGGTCGTATGTTGTCAGGCCACTTCCACTGGCTCGGGAAGAAAGTGAACGACTTTGAAAAAACATCGTTGTAAAGCAAACCAGTGTATATGGAGAAAAGACCCATCATTAGCAGGGTATAGCGGCCGTAGAAGGCCATCTGAACCAATTCGTCCAGCTGTGATTTCTTCAGCGTCCCCTCCCAGCAGATCATAGCAGTGGCAGCGATGGTTATCAATGCACCATGGCCAACGTCTCCGAACATAACTGCAAACATGAAGGGAAAGGTAACAGCTGTATACAACCCGGGATTAGACTCTTCATATTTTGGAATATTGTACGCATTGACAATGTTCTGGAAGCCATCAGTGAACTTATTTGTTCTGACAAAGGTGGGTGGAGTATTATTCGTTCTGACCCGATTGACAATTGTAGGCACAGTCAATCCAGCGCGATCATTAACGTCCCGCAAAGCCATCTTGATTGATGGAAGCGAGCTAGTAGGACACCATGCCTCTGCGATATGTGTCGTTCTGGCCTGGTCATAGGTGAATTGATTCAGCGTGTCATATATGGCCCTCTCTTTCTTGATAATAGTCATCCAAGCCGTCAGAAAAGGGGCAATCTGTGTCAGTTCTGCATGAAGCATATTTTTTGTCCTTTCCACCACATTCCTCGTATCATTCAATCTGGTGCTTACTTCATGCATCTGTTCCCTTCGTAGGTCATAGTCCTCATCGACACTATACAGAGAAGCACCGAGAGATTTAGAAATCTGTCGGATCTTCGCAGTAATGGATTTGCCATGTGCAAGGATCATGAATGCACTTTTGTGGATCTCCTCGTTGTTGGTTGGGTCGACAATAGGCACAAGGATATCGGACTGATTCATATAGAGGTTACCACGGAGTGTTCGCCAAAGGGTGCGTTGGAGTAACCCCATCCTAGTTCGTGGTATCATTCCAGCAATAATTCCGATGCTCATATCCTGGAGCCTATGCGGGACCCCAACATCGTTCAGGCGAGCCTGCTGCTCAATGTCGCGCAGCAAGGGAGTTTCAGCATTGCTAAGTGACCGATATATCTCTTCTCCATGGCCCTGAGCATGTTCAAAATAGCTACCAGCTGTTGATAGCACCCAGTGCCATTCGACCAGCTCTAACTCACGTCTCACTAGGTTCTCGTAGCTCTCGCTCAAGGAAGATATCTGCTGCTCCAGACACTGAATGCGGCCCATGAGCTCGTCAATCTCTGATGTCAGATTAGCTGCCGATGTATCTGAGCATTCAGATGAAGGTTGTAATGTAATATCTGCTTTATCTAGCTGTGAACGGATGTAATCTATCGTAGGTAGTCAATTCAGACTCGCGGATCAAAACGCAGCAGCTTGTCCAAGATTCAAATAACCTACGCAGTTGTCTCTCAACCTCATTCAGGCGAAGGATGTCTCCAGTGAAAGTCCTTTTTAAAGCATTGCTATCTTGATTAAGCTATGTGAGGTCCATCATCAGCCTCCTTGCGGGGTATGGAGTGGGCCGTCTTAATCTCAGCGTCAGATCTTCGACTCACATCCCTGAACTGAACTTGACCAAGTTCACCAAGAGCCTTAACAACCTCACGTCCATTTTCGTTAGCAATATAGAGCTGGATTAAGCTCATATCAACTGAGCGAAAGAAAGTGTCTTTGGGAGCCATGGTATAAGGGAAAGTTGAAGCAGTGTCTTTCAACTACCAGGACATAAAAACCTCAGGGATTCTGAAAATAGACAACAAAGAGCGAGGAGGCCCCTTATTCATTCCTAGAGCAATAGATATGACATAAGTGAAATGTCCAAGGTGATGAAGACGACATAAATGCGATTACCAAGTGTGCATGACGTGATCTTAGTGTCTGAGATTATATCATCCCATTTGGCTTAAATCAGATGTCGACGATAATATGACGTCAGCGCACCGCATAACCTCCCTTTTTTCTGTATCCCAATACATATTTTACAACAAAATCATCGGCCAAAAATTCCCGGCATCGGTGTCATTCAACCAAAATGATATATTTACCACCGTTATGATGATGGCTATGAAACGTTAAGACTGCAGATTAAATACTCACCTAACCATGCCTAAAAAAGGAAAAAAATAAAGTATATCAATCATTCAAAGATTGCCACCCTTGTTGAATATGGTGTATATTAGGTATTAAACTTTATATGGCTTTAGTTCATCTGAATGATGTCACTTGTCGTCAACCGTAAAATACCGCTAGCTACGGATTTGACCTACATTATATATATGATTAAGAAGCTGCCTGCCTTGCCGATAGTTAGCTGACCTACGCTCAGTATTTTGGTCACGTAGGCTACTGAATAGGAAGAATCAGTCTTGAATTTGCCGTCAATTAGACCCTTTTAGTTTTAGGCCTAGATCACTAGGTAATACCGAATATCATTATCTTAATATTTGTATTCCTTTCTCTGTGCCAAGGGCAAACGTGGTTGCTCTGACATTACAAATTTTCTCTTCAGACCCAGATTTAATGATAAATCAAACCCAACTGCTACGATAGTCACAACATATTTTACTAGCTGATCACGATCGAGAAAGCGGTGTTTGTTCGCCACAATATAGCATATATTTGCCAATGACAGAAGGAGCAATAACCTAGCCAGTTGTATTTTTGCTATATAGGCAGATGAAAAGAAATATGGCAATGGTTGAGAGTTCAGACACTCTGGACCGTGGTACTCCCTGCTACCACCAGGTGGATGTGATAGTCTGTGCAAGGAGGCGAGGCCTTCCAAGACCCTACAATAGAAAGTGTTTTGCCCGTCATGATGACGGGGGAGGAGGATATGGTGGCGTCTCCTCTCTTCGTATCGCCACCATTTTTACCTGTCGGAAACTCAAGATATTGCAGAGATATACAGTTTGCGTGGTTTTATAAGAAAACTCCCGTCTAATCTTGGTCAAATTAGCGATCAGCAAGCATAGCACAGACAACCGAACCAAAATCATTCAAAATGACCCGAGGGAATACCAGGCAATCTAAGGTTTTCTACAAAGGACTGACTGAAGATTTCGTCATCATGGTTGAGGATGTCACTGCCGTGCAGAACTGGAGAAGAGACCACTCCGTTCCTCTTGCGCAGGTGCTGGACGGATGGAAGATATTTACTTCTCGTCAGTGAGTATTCGGCCCTGTGTATTTTTATTCTCAGAAATTATGTCGTTTCAAGAAAACGCATCGGTTAGGTGGGTCTACTGAGCAGAAGAAATTAACTATTGCTCCACATCTGCGATGTGGCTAGACATGGGCCTCAAGGGATTCATAATGAAGCTAGCAGAGCTACGCTTGAACGCGAGTTCGGGACGTCAAATTACAATGACGTTATCTCAAGGATATTAAACGAAGGAGAAATCCAGGAGAATATTGTCCGTAATGTCCTCTATCCAGATCCTACTATGTTCAATTTTCTATCGCAAAGTCTTTCCTATATGTCAGCATCTGGCTAACCATTGGTGAGAGCACAGAACACTGAAAGACAGGGCATAAGAAATGAATCACAAGGGCCCCGGGGGATCCACTGAGAGTTTAAAGGGAAGATATCTGAGTAGTAATTTACATAAGTGTTATGTTGCCAAGGCAGAAAATTCTTGAAAAGTTGGATATGTGGTTGGCTTATTGTTCCGTCTTTTTATTTGCCGCTTAACATCTAAAGAGTTCCATTCGTTGTATTTTCAATGCATAGGCGTCGAATTCTTTGTGAGTTATCACATTGCAGGAATTCTCCATGATATACCTCCTTCATACAGGTGTAGTGTGCCATATACCCTTTAGTTCTATATTCACAACTATGAAAAGAATGGTAAAACTCACTTCAAACATATACGTTTCATACTGTGTTTCCTTGTTAAAAGCCTCCGAGACGAGGTTACATGAGGTTCTTATACTTCCCAGAAGTAAAACCTCGAACATCATCAGATCATGGAAAACTATCATCGACCTTTTGCTTTATACTCTTAATTCATCCATGCAGTACGGCGCTGGCTCATAGGATACGCTGCTTGTCAGGAGTTCTTTCAGATCTTCAACAACATTCGAACAAAAACTGTTCCCCTGTCTGAACAGACAAGTACACCAACCATGGTACAATTGTAGGTATTGAATGAGCATCTGATTGACCATCATAATTACGTCATCGACCATGAAGAATATTAAGGTGTTGGTGGGCTCCACATGTTCCGTTCAGGCCGTTTCATTCAGCTTGATTTTTTGATATTTAGGTATGTTAAAATATACTTTGCAATTAGTTAGTCGGCCGACTGCAGCTACCTTGATTCTTGGACGGAAATCCATCCCCAAACCTACAGTTGTCCGGGTCTTTGTTCGGAAGCAACATTATTCCTCTGCCAGTAATGCAACAGATACATTCACCGAAGTATCCTCGCTGCTACAGCAGAGGGTACATGGTGTCAGAGGGCCACCTAACCTTGCTGAAACTGGCCATGTCTTGTCTGTTTGTGACGGTATTGTTCGCGCCCACGGGCTGAGAAATGTCCAAGCTGAAGAACTTGTTGAGTTTGAATCTGGAGTGAATGGAATGTGTATGAATCTGGAAGCTGCTCATGTTAGTATCGTGCTTTTTGGTTCTGATCGTCTCGTTAAACAAGGTGAGGCCGTTTGGCGAACCGGTGAAATTGTTGATGCTCCCGTTGGTCCTAAGATGCTTGGACGGGTTGTTGATGCATTAGGAAACCCTATTGATGGAAGGGGGCCCATTGAGACCACCGAAAGGAGTCGTGCTCAACTTAAGGCTCCCGGCATCTTGCCTCGCCGCTCCGTCAATCAACCTGTTCAGACAGGCCTGAAGGCGATTGATGCTATGGTACCTATTGGTAGAGGCCAACGTGAACTGATAATTGGTGATCGACAGACTGGAAAGACTGCTATTGCCCTGGACACTATTTTAAATCAGCGGAGATGGAACAACTCGAATGACGAGTCAAAGAAATTGTACTGCGTTTACGTAGCTATCGGACAGAAGCGGTCCACGGTAGCTCAATTTGTCAAGATCCTGGAAGAAAATGATGCTCTGAAATATTCTATCATTGTCGCTGCCACGGCATCTGAAGCTGCTCCGCTACAATATATTGCTCCGTTCTCTGGCTGCGCTATGGGTGAGTGGTTTCGCGACAATGGTCGACACGCCATTATCATCTATGATGATTTGTCGAAGCATGCAGTCGCCTACCGTCAGATGTCACTATTACTTCGTCGCCCCCCTGGACGTGAAGCCTACCCAGGAGACGTTTTTTACCTTCATTCTCGCCTCTTGGAGCGTGCAGCAAAGATGAGCGATAAGCATGGCGGCGGTTCTCTCACTGCTCTTCCCATCATCGAGACACAAGGCGGCGATGTGTCAGCGTACATCCCTACAAATGTTATCTCGATCACAGATGGTCAGATATATTTAGAACCCGAACTCTTCTATAGGGGCATTCGGCCTGCTATTAATGTTGGGCTTTCCGTTTCTCGGGTTGGCTCCGCAGCTCAACTCGGGCCCATGAAACAAGTTGCTCGCTCACTCAAGCTCTACCTAGCACAGTACCGCGAGATTGCTGCGTTTTCTCAATTTGGATCAGACCTTGATGCTGCCACCAAGCAAACTCTCAGACGTGGTGAGCATCTGACAGAGCTGCTGAAGCAAAAGCAGTACGCTCCGATGGCTGTCAATGAAATGGTGCCCTTGCTATATGCTGGGATCAACGGTCTTATCGACGGAATTCCTGTTAGTCAGATCCAACGCTGGGAAGCTAACGTGCTCGCCCATTTCAAGTATTCTGAGCCTGAGCTGCTTTCCAGGATCGAAAAGGACGGCATTTTAAGCCATGAGCTAGAAACACAAATCAAGGAAAAAATTATGGCATTCAACAGAGTTTTCTCATAAGTTAGCCAATCATTCCCGATTGACCTGGTTCGATTCAAATCCATGCTGTCATTTTGTCATACCTGCACGGACACCATTAATGCTCGACCACATTATGCAATGGTGCAAGCACGGCGGTCGGGGGGATATTTATAGAATCGCAGCGAATAAAGTGGTCGTTGGGGAGCCGATTCTGGCTCCCCTTAGCTGTGGTTGTGCAACAAAGGAGCCCTGCGGCACCATCACGAGTAAAAAGGAACTGCCAAGCACCAGGAACGGGCTGAGACCAACGAGAGCTGGGTGTGGCGGTAGAGGCTGTCGACCGTGGGTTTAAGCAGAGGTTGTGCCAAGACCGTCGCCCATTAGTGAGACACCAAAAACGGCCGCAGAAGTAGCCCTTTTCGGCCGCCGCCTAACAGGTCTTGGACAAGGCGTTGAGTTGAGAAAGCACAGGAGAGATCATTCATTATGAAAGCAGAGAAAATGAAGTCACTTTAGTTATGGCGTGTCGTAGGGATCTCAGCACCCTATATACAAAGATTCTCTATTCCCTATCATAAAATTCGAGTGTATGAGACAATCGCCAGGCGATTTTGCTATGGATAATCAGCCGTGGCGGTCCGTGAAGGTGAGTAACCCTCAGGGCCGCAAATAAAGTTACCAAATCTGTTAACCATGGCATACCGTAGGATCGACGCTCCCTTATGTCAAGAAAACCCGCAGGGCATTATAGCTTCTGTAGATGTCGATAGGATACCGTGGAGTCTATGATAAGTGTGGACCTTCATGGGGTCAACGTTTCCCCGGGGCTGGAGCGACCGCAGGTTGTGATAAATTTGGTAGAAACGTGGCGTCCCACAAGGGGAAAACATTCCTGCGGATATTATTTTCAAAGGGTGCATTTAAGTCTATCAAAGAGTGGCTCTACATAGGGTTGAACGGTCCATAGGCTTGAAATGCCCGTAGGGTGTTCGCGAATATGTAAAAATGTGGCTTGCCATACGGCCTATATCTCCATGCGCCTAAATTAACCCAGGGGGGTTAAACAGTTCCTCGGAATTGTGGTGTTCCACAGGGCTAGAAGCCCCATACGTCCCCACCTCCCCTAAGGTGTTCATGGTTGCGTGGAAGTGTGGTTCTCCGCGAGGACTAGCCATCCGCATGCCAAGATTCCTCGTGGGGCGCTTATTATGTTGCACTACATGGCGCTTCACGGGGAGAAATTTCCCATAAGGCCGAAACTGTCACAGGGTATGCAGGAATCGTAAAAGTGTGGTTCGCCACGGGAAAGCATGGCCCGCCAGATGGTCTCGAATGCCGTTTGCCTATAATCACCGCAAGGAACTCTATATTTGGAACGATTATGGCTCCCGGCAAGGTATGAAATGAATTTAGTTTAGTGTGGTGTACCAGAAGGCCCAAAATATCCTATGGTTCGACTCGCTTGCCTTCATATCTTATCAGGCAATAACTACATAAAAGGCTTCACTTTCCATTGTATATTATGGCGTCCCACATGACTTATCGTACATAGGTTTAGCCGATACCCAAAGGCATACCATGTTTTGCCAAGCTATGGCTAGCTTTTAGGGTGAGTGCTGTCAGTGAACACACTACCCAGTAATTTACCTGGAAGATTTACGTGGGCCAAAGAGCTTTTTCTAAAGTTCAATGGCAATTGGGGTCCAACAGAAATCGCACTTTAGTTAATAATGTGGATAGCCTAGTCGATCATTGTAGGTGGAGGCAGGGTTTTAGTTACTAATGAGGTATTCTCAAAGGGACGGAAAGCAGCCCCACTACAATGAGAGACTAGGAGTCCCAACATTACCTTTCTTATTCTTTTCTAGGATCATATAATAGTAGTGATTTGTGATGCACTGTCAATTTCCAAGTCGCGACGCTGTATACTTCTAAGTATATCCCAACGCCTTTTAATATCACATTGCTTCGGCTTAACATATATAATACATCGTATTAACGCTCAACTGTTGGAATGGCACATGAATTAAATATCTTGCCGTTCACATTGTACTATGTAAGCACCACGGCAGTGAACAATAGTTAATCTTGACCGCTCAGGCGTTGCCCCATCGCACACTGCCACGGTAGTGTGAAGCAGGATTCGCTGAACTAGCAATCAAGGCCGAACAGAACAAGAAGGATGCCTGGGGACTGATATTGAGGTAGAAGTAGGGTCTAGAGTTAATATGAAAGACAACACGCGAGATATTAGGATTACCATACAGAACCATTGAAAAATTGCGCACGGGGAACACGGAAGAATGTATTCGTATACAGGTGAGGCGCATGTTAGTCACGTGATTTTCCGGGATATTTTGGCTGATTAGTGGCTTTGGGATCAAGGAAAATTATTGGCGCGTAGTCTAGCCTACATTTAGTTTTTGCAACAGGAAGACGGCAGTGGGCGGGAAATGTTTGATGTGAGCTCTTCGACGGCAGTCCTACACTGGGCGGAGGTCTCGCTTCGACCTCGACCACAATATTTGTCTGGTATCAATGTGACTGATATTTTCTATAGACGATTTAGAATAGAACTTCCTTGCGTAATGTGTTACGATACGACCATATACTTACCAACTATCCACAGGTTACACTTCTAGCCGTTATAGGTAGAAGCTAAGCATGACTTTGTCGTTATTTCTGCTTGGGTGCTTTTCTCTGGCTCCTTCCATGGCGTTCGCCTGAACTCACACGGCGTTCATTGCATCGTAAATTACGCCCACATCTAGCGTACTATCCGGCACACTAATTGTTTTCCGTCCTCCTCTCTACCGTTTGTCTCATTTCAATACGTAACTACGCTGAGATATGTCTTAAGACCCAAGGAAATTTCTCCTCTGCCAGCAGTGGTCGCACGTTACCTATGGAGCTGGCCGCAGTCCAATAGTGTTCTGTCCTACTGATAAACCTTCAGTCGCTGTGTCCCGTAAGTGGGGTAACACGACAGAGAATACCCTGAGCTTTACTCCATACGTCAATGAGTTATGAATTCTTCATGCTTTTGCAGACCGTGGCGCTGAGGAGCCTGAGGCACTAGTTCATCGTCGGCCCTCAGCTTTCTGGCATCAATCACCGTCAAGCATGCTTGTGTAAATTGAAAGGCTCAGCAGAGAAGATTTATTCACAGCATTGTCCCATGGGTTTGACATAGGTGGGTACAAGGAGGGAATACGATAACTACATGAGCGGATCCCTGTCATACAGAACCGTGGAATCCCGCGCCAAGTATTTGGCTTGCAAAGCACTGGCACTTTACAGGTCCCTTCAGTAGGACAGTTTATTAGACTGTAGTCGTCTCCGTAGTCAAAAGTCAATCACTGGCCGAGGAAAAGCTTCATTGTTCCGAAGCTGACCACCACTTAGCCAGATAAGCCAGGCATGACGAAAAGGAGCCGAGCGTCATGGTTACGGAGGGTTCAGGACTCGCACTTAGCTGCAATTTTAACTAGTTATATGTATTCAAGTCGAATAGTCAGCGGGTACTTCTTAGAATAGAGTTCCAAAGGAACCGTCGGATAGAACCACTGTTCCAATGCCTAGTGACTCTAGCTTTTGAGATCACATGGTCCCGCCACTGTCGTCATGCATAGTTTCACCTTGGAGGCTCTCCTCTGCCTCCAGAACCCCATGATTAAAGGTGTGGAAAAAGTATCCCTTAATTTCCGCTTACTATACATCTATTTCCATATTGGTTCTATTCCTTAAATCATATCATCTCACATTATTAGGATGGAATTCTACCCTGCAGAAAGCATTATCCAGGTTGACCAAACTGATGAATGGTCAATGGAATACCCACTCCTTACATGTGGAAACAGGTCGGGATCTGGCCTTACGCCTTCTGAAAGCAACTGGGCAGCATTCACTACTGAGTTGCAAAATACGGACTCTCCACCTATCGAGTACGGTAGCGTTGATATGACAAAGGAGGTTTTGCATGATCCTTACATACCATTCAATGTAAGATTCGATCGACTGTCCACTGAATGCTCTACCTACGGGCCTAACACATAAACAGACGCAGTTTGGAGAACCATTAAAGCCTGTTATCGAAGGTTGCGTCATGATGGACACTTCACAGCAGTTAAAGCCGAAGCTTTTACTTGGGTCTCTCACTCCTATGGCTAATTCGGAATCTTCATCCGCGCCTTCTATAAGATCGAAGCCAGTTGCAAAACAGCTATTATCACAAGACACTTCCGTACAGCATAGGCGCCGATCTACACACTCCGGTAATAAAGATGATCCAACAATCCACATTCTGCGGAAAATAAGGCACAATCAAGTTGAAAAGCGCTACCGAGCAGATCTAGATGCTAGATTCAAGCAACTCGATGATGCCACCAGACAAGGAACTGCAGCTGCAGGTTCTGATGCTAAGTCTGCGAAGGGCAGGAGACCGGGTAGGAAGGCATCGATTCTACAGAATGCATCTGATCGTATTATAAGTCTTCAGACTAAGCTCAAAACATTGCAGACGGAGATAGAAGCTTTGTGAAGTTGTATTCTGGATCATTATCTACTTCCTGGACAAGGATGGCCCTGACTTTCATTCAACGACAGCCGTAAGTGTCGCGCCCCCTTTGCTTTTTTTAGTCGTATCATAACGACTAACACTGTCATCCGGAGCAGATGTGATGAATGACTTCAAAACGTAATGCTGCAACATGCTGAAATACACACCTTTGTTTGGAACTCCAGCGTTGGGATCCATATCGACATGCATCGCCTTTGTTTGGGCTCCACCCGCCCAGAAGCAGTTGAGACGGTTCGGATGATCACTGGGGCAATCTATTAATCCCCGTCAAGCTCTACATGGTCGAAGAATCTTTTGTCATCCCCCGTGTACGTGGCCTACAAGAGCTTATTCAAAAGCGGAAGAAGATTCGAGACAAGAAAAAACGTTCAAATGGAAACGACCACCAAGAATTCTAGCAAGTCTCTGGTGAACGGCAGCATCTGAAGAAGGTTAGGGACGACAAGAAGCTGTCATATCACCATCATCGGGCACGGAAACGTGCGAAGAGATCTCATGATAAGTATATCCGTGCAAACCAGAGCTATCAACGTGTATGCGCGGATTGCAGAATGACAAGCAACGGCAGCGGCAGGGCTGATACAGGAGAATCAAGAAGGTTATAGGAATGAGTATCCGGCGATCGATAGCGAACGGCAGCTTGCTGGCAAGATGGTGGACAAGGAAGTGACGTCAGCCGCACTATCCAAGTACACTTTCGAAGGATGTTGGACAAAGGCCTGTCAGTCGACCCCTGATCCATGAATAGAATAGGTCAATGTATTCTTAACAATCAGAAAAAGGTTTATAGAACAAAGCCACCGGAATAAATCCATTGAAATCATTGGACACATGTCTAAGGATAGCTTGGGTATGGGCCTCTCATCAGAAGTATTAGCTACCTGGGAGGGCAATATCAGTAAATAAGAAATAGGATAATCCTTTATCAGTCACAGAAATAGTTCCACGTGGAGCCAGGATAATGAGCTGTCGAAAGATATATTAGACTCCCGATGAGTGCGACTTAACATATTGACAGAGGCTAAAAAGAATATAGTAGGATGACTCTTGTAATTGCAGATATCCAATATTGAACATTTCTCTATCCACCGCCTGTTGTTACTGATGACCTGCTGCATACGGAATGACTAACCAGATTACCATATGAATTGTGGTATTTGGGTTCAGCATATATCTTCCATTCCACCATATAGATGGACTCGCTGCAATATGTATCAAAGGACGTCAGTTGCGTGAAAAGAGTATCCCAGGTGTGTTCCGGTTGCGTTTCATGTGCGCCTCAAGAAGCCGTCTTCTGGCACAGCAACACATCTGCCTGTAATCTCGTACTTATGCTGACGGAGAGATCCACCGACGGGGAGAATTACTGGTTGAATCATTGCTTCACTATCAGTCCCTAAGATCCTGAAATGCAATATTACAGTAAATCAAAGAAGCAGAATCCAAAGAAGATAAGACCATCGGACCGGTACTATTGGAGTCATTTTGACCCAGGCCTCGGGGTAGTAAGATACTGTGTAGTACAACAGAGGCCCACTGGAACCCAGTTAGCCAATTGGGCCCACTTCGCTTAAATACGTACTAAACTTTCTTGCCTCCCGTAAGACTACTAGGCAGCAATTAATGTGCACAGATGTAGTGCCTGTGGTGAGGCTAGAATATTCTCTGCTATTCCATAAAATTATTGTGCACGGCTATCTAGGGGCCGTGGGATTGTTATACGGCAGGGACTGAGGGTCTATTAGATTGCTTACTAAGAGCCGACGATTAACGTATTTCACTAGTGAGCGCCGCACACCAACGAGCGCCGCACCTCCACTCCGATTTCTGCCTGCGGGCCAATTACTAGAGTCTTCTTCACCAAAACAACTGCATTTCTATATATAAATTAATTACTAAGTGGTTTAGGACATCTAACTCTTATGTATCCAAAGGCCATGAGCGTTGGCAAAATGACGAGGTACCTAAGTCCATGGGAACTATAATTATGACCTAATTTATGTATCATATTCCTAATAGTTACACCTTACTTGTACGATACGGTGACTAATCTATACAAGTGTTCTAAAAATGCTTTTCTGTCTTTCAGGCCCCGACATGTGACCTCCCATATTTAACTCTAAAGGGGTTAATACTCTATGGATGGGAAGGCAAGTGATCAAATGATGACATGATGATTCGGTTGGGCGGCTCTCATCCATAGGGCTAACACTGGCATTTATATTAAGTGGCAATAAATATAGTTCAACATCTTAATATGCATCATTCTTTGTTCTTCACTATTAACGAAAATAACCTATGTACGTGACAAAAATCATAATGGAAGCAAAAGAGGATAAGGAAACCCATTCGCAGGTTAGACGATTCACCAGCATCATTAAGATATAGCGCACTGGGCCAATATGTTACTAGACTCTCTCCGAAGATGAGAAACGCCGCCTCCGTCTTTATGATCGGCTGCCTCATGGAGGAGGACTGCTCAGACAGCAGTCTAGAGTATGTTTCTGATAAGGCAGCTCAAGGCAGCTACTGACAAGTGAAAGGAACGGAGGTACTTTGATTCGGGTGATTTGGCTCTCTCTACAGCCGATAGAGTGACTGATGAAGGTGCAATTCAAACCGGCACAGCCCATCCTATACGTGACAGCATTTCTCGCCCTTATGCCCCGGTTCCCAACGCCACTAATGCCAAAAAAGATGCAAACAAAGGCTTTAGTGGCAAGAAACCCCAAATTCCAGAAATGATAGATAGCCCTCTGCACCAACAAATCAACAATGCGAATAGGAAGATGCAGAAACCAGAATGAACAGTTTAGGATGGATGCTTTTCTGACATTTGTTTCAGTTTGATTTCAATTCAGAAAAACCTTATGTGATACCCATGTCCGGTTTGGTAGAAAGAGACCACATGTTTAGTTACAGCAATTTTATACCACTATTGTCGTTTCTGCTGGGGTATCACTTTTACCCAGATATAATCATGTCGAGCTTACTACCAAATGGAAATATTTTCCCGCTAGGACAGTGATACAAAGACGTTCAATATAAAAAATCGGTGCCACCCACCAGGCCATTCTCAGGGTTTCTACCACGCGTGAAACTACTCGAGCAGCAGTACTATTCCCCCACTATGATCTCCATGCTATCTCCCAAAAGGCTAATACAAGTGAGGAATGCGCCCGCTCTTCACGCTTGCATCGTTCATGGTCAAAACTTTCCTAGGACCAGTTTCGGGAAACCCATGTGTTAAATTATAGCTTGCGGTAGCTGCTTCCTGAGGTAGAGTACAAGTGACGTTAAGCACTATCGCTGCTGTTCTTGGGACTATTAAGTCTGGTGTCATAACTGTCCCTAGCTGAACTCTCGTATATAGGCTCATAGCATTGCTGTACTCATTTAATGCTGTTGGGGAGCGGCGCATAGTCGTCATTACTTGAAGTCTTTGCTTGTGTGATACTCGATTCGCACTTATTCGTTGTTATCATCGATCACTAGGGAATTCTAGTCATCGGGGTAAGTCGTATCTAACCAAGATAGCTAACTGGTCGCAGAGTCCTTGGATGGATACCCGGGCGTAACAGCGGCCGCCCACCCTTGGGGTGCTTTCACGCTCCCAAATAAGCGTTTGTAAGTACGTAGCCTTCTAATTGTACGTTCGTGACAGTCAACAAAAATCAACCATCTGGGCCGCTGTGAGTTCACCGGTTGTCATTATCATATTGGCGGCCTCTATCTTTGATGCACCAAGATTAGGTGTCATTTCTGCCGTTAGATCGTTTCGGGAGAACAAGCATGATTGACAGATCATCACCAGGGAGGGGTATGGAGGTGTAGGGCCATATGGTATTGTATTAGCAAAACATACAGTACGATAATATTACTGTAATAATATGCATGAGTACGATACAATACCTTCACCAAGGATCGGGGTATTCCATAAGAGGTTAGGGCTTTCTTGGCATAGGGTTGGGAAACAATGAAAGGATACAAGACCCGGGCGCCGGTTTTGAATTTTAGTGTATCTAGAGATCCCTCAGAGCTGTAACGAGAGAGAACCGAGGAGTGTAAACGTTTAGAGTGTAGTTAAAGGAGATGGTGTACTTCAAAAGAAAAGACGGGTGCCGACGCGGGATTGGATGGCGGACCGACGAGGCATGAATCCTCAGCTTCCAGGCCCCGGGGCGGGCAGGAAGCCGTTCCCAACCCTCCGCCGACCATCCTCTCTCTCCAAATCCGCAACTCCCGCCACTCCACACGAGCGACCTACTCTCCTCAGCCTCCTTATCCGACCCCAAATATAACTTTCCCTCTAAATACTCAACCAACCTATGCATCGGTCCTTCGGCATCCTGCCACAACCTCACCTCAATTGATTTCTAAACCCCGAGAACCTATCATACATACCAGACCTATACTCACAATGGAAGATCTTCACCACCGATTTCACAATAAACCGTCACCGTTCCAGCTCGAGACAAAGGCAAGGAAACGCTCAGCTCTAACTCGTAACAAAACCCTATCAGCAACAAAGTCATTGTCCAGATTCTTGACTTCAGCATTACCTGCATTATCGCGGTTCTTATCTGAGATGCAGCCAAAATCGGACATCTGTTGTCCGTCTCATTCGCAAATTCATTACAGCCGCGCCATGAGGGCAGCCTAATACCGCAAACGGTAACAAGGCCACGACAGGCTTTACCAGGTGAGGCTCAAAGTTCACCGTTCAGGAAGTTTGGAACAATCTCAGGGATCAATTAGCATGTATTTAGAAAGTAGTTGTAGCCTGCATATCGCTTTTTGATGCGAGGGGTCAGGGTAAATGAAATCAACCAACCAACCAACCAACTAGTGTATCTAGAAGGATACCTCCTTAATGCTGAACAATCTCCTGAAACTCTCTTGTGCTCCTTTCCATACGCAGCGGATAAATAGGCCAAGCCACAGGGGTGCACTTACGGCTAGCAACGCCAGCGTGAAGGATATACATGAACTGAAGTTACGGCTGAGGCTTCATATTCAAGATACCTTGTGCGTTGAAATCTCCACTCCTTTTCCTCACTCGCCATAAGATAATGAATTCGATCAACCTGCATTAACCTCAGCTGCCGCCGCTGGTAGTAGTCACCATCCAGTTCCTGGAGTTTATATCTCCTATATTCGTCTTTTTGGGTATCGATCCTCCTCCTTCTCTCAACCTTGCGCCTTTGGGCGATCTTGAATGCCTCCCAGTGTCTTTTACGACCTTCCTCCGTGGCTTTGCTTTTACGTTTTACTGATGTAGGCTTAATTTGCGGCTTCTTTACGCTCTCCAAAATTTTCTCGCGTTGCAGCAATAGTGGCCCATCGTCAAGTGAAATAGTGCTCTTGTGATACGTTGCTTTCGTTTGCGACTGGGCGGTATAAGGACACCATTTAACCTGAGTTAAACAGAAGGTTAGCAATTACTGACAAGTCAGCCAATGTGACTTTTACAAAGCTCTTACCTCATGAATGTCGAACTCTGATGCTACGAGTCTGATGATAGACTGCAGCCAACTACTTAGGTTCTCTTTCTTTTCTTGGAGTATTCTCAGTCTGGTTTCATCCGGTGATTGATGGTGAGCCACGGCGTTTCGTATCTGCCTGCACTGATCAAGCAGGGTTTTGAAGTATTTCAGGGATTTCTTAATTAAAGTCTGGCGAAGCTTTTCATTGGGAATGGAACATGCATGTTGCAGCGTGTCGATTATCGTCGGCAGGTCGACAGCTTGATGCCAACAGAAACCCCTCTCTTCAATACCTTCTGGGTCAACAATTTCTAATAAAACAAAACCTAAAAATTCTAACTTATCGTTCCAGTCAGAAAGACGTTTGTGCGACTCAATGTATACTGCTGCTGCTGAAGACATATTGCTTGTAGGAACACTGGTATTAATACCACTCACTTCATCGTATTAAATAAAATATTAGCAGGATGACCCTAATAATAAAGGATGTATAGAATTTGTTGTCGTCATGTTGTGATCATGACCCAGACTTTGATAACAGATGTATAATCAGCAGCATATCTTGTAGAAAAGACATTCATTGGTGTTCCTATGTGAACTTGACTCAAGAATAGTCCCGGCTCTACAAAGATTATATTAATATAAATGATTGCATGAAACTTTACTGTCTAATATAAGGATTATTAATACTTGGGAGAGCTAGCTTCCCCGTTACTAGGTAAAGCCGATCCTTAAAACGAAAAAGTATTTTCACCTTTGATTTCGTAAGCTTAGCTAGATGGATACGATCGCTCTCTGTGGGGTTTGCGGTACGGAATGGGGTCGCAACCAACCAGTGGAGATTAGACCGGGTTGTGCGACCCCGAATCAGCTTGCAGACCGGGCTTCTTTTACTCAGTAAAAGAGTTTCAAAGTATTGTACTGCCAACACCGGCGATTTCTTGAATCTATTGAAGATTTTTGTAACGGGACTCAATTTGAGCTAATTTCCAATAGCTTTCCGATTCAAGTGGCATGTATTCAGGACTTTTTCTGTCGCTTCGGCGACTTTGGAGACTATCAAATATTGAAGCAATAGAATTCAGCATTGTGGGAGCAGGAGCGTATTATTTTTCTCGAAATAAACGACATGCCCTGGACGGATTGCTTTCCACATTCTAATAGGGGCATCATCTAACGACGATGTTTTCATATGTCGACTGGTAGCATGATACGAATTGAGACTAAGCGTGTATAGAGTGCAAGACGGTTAGCTCTACATTTAGGGTATTCGGTGCTGGAGTGTTCTATAGCTGAACCTATACCCAGCTGATAATAATCCAAAAAGCCCGATGTCTGACACTTTCATCACAGTTAGTAATAGGCCCTCTGTTTCTCTTATACATTAATCTATATTGTTATTGTAAGGAATTACAAATGTATATGTCTATCATGACAAGAAATAATAAATACTAAATAGGGGCAGTTGTTGCTTTGGTCTCTTATAAGATGTAAATTTCAATTCTTTGAACACATAGCTCTAAATCTTTACTAAGTAACAAATGACTAGCCTACTAATAATGTTCCTTCTCTATATGAAATTCAACTTTGAGAGTAGGTGGTGTTGAAGCTGGCGTCAGTAAATGAACTGGGTCTGGGTGCTTCTCGTCTGCTTTTAAGACCTTTTTCATTTGCTGGTGCCCGATATCATCAGTGTCATGGATCCATTTCCTCTTCACGGAGACACAGTTGCGACGTGGCTCTTCAATTGAATGTGCATCAAGAAAGTGACGGCGCAGACGCGAAGGGCCTTCATAGGACTTATTTAAACAACAGGGATGGGGGCATTCAATTAGGTCGCCTTTTCTTTTCCCAGATAGATGTTGGCTGTCAATGTGGTTGATTAGGGTGGACTTTACACGCCATTGTTGGAACCGCTCTTCAGGCTTTTTAGACTCGTCGCCTAAGCAGAACGGACAGAATCCAGGAGCTACCATTGTGTATCGGAATGTCATTGGTCCACAACGTGGTTCTAGATGATCCAAGTGGAAGCGACAGTGTTCTTGCCAATCTTCCTCTGTACGAAACCACTGGGCACATAAATAACACCATTCGAGAAAAGATCGAGGAGCTCTCCGGTGTGCCCTCTTTCCGTTTTGGTACCGTTGCTGGTACGGTGCAGCGTTAAGGGATTT